ACAACACATGACAATCTTGGTTAATTAAGGGAGAACATTGAGTTGATGATATTATATTTGATTGTAAGTTAAATAGCAAGATAGTTTTGTCAGTCACATTTTAAATCTCAGAAGTTTATTCATTTACAAGAAAGAGGAAAATTAATTGGAATTGTTTGCAATCTTTTTTAAAGCAAGTAGTTTAAATTCTACATGTTATAGGGCAACTGAAATATATAGAACTGTTAAAATTATGTAGTTCTTTCATCTAATTAAAAATAATTTTATATTCTTAACATATTATTTGTATTTTTAATGCAAATAATGCAGGGATAATGTACTATTTTGCACTGCCCTTTATAATCTGAGGGGCATAGCACAATTTGGGATGGAGCTTGATTGCACTTTTTCTTAGCTATTACATAGGTAATAGCTAAAATTTTTGACCTTTTATAATTTAAAAGTAGCTCATCCTGTTTTGAGCTATGAGATGGTTTCTCTCTCTCGCTAAACGACTGTTTGGCTTACATGCAGCTCATTAAGTATATATAATTTAGAAGTAGAACACACCCACACAGAATGGTTAAACAAATATAAAAATAAAAACTAAGAAAAATGCTTATGTTTTACCCCTTTAGGATGAAAGCATGGGAAGAAACTTTTTCCTGATACAAGACTCCTACTAATATGCATCAATAAAAGCAAAATTTTTATTTAAAGTTAGACTTTATTTTAATGTTAAATCTTTTTTCTATCTTTATAAATAATATATAAATATATTCGTGTTAAAATTGAAATAGTATAAATAAACCTAATATTCTTCTCAGCTGTTTTGACTGCTTCTCCCTCCAAGGTGAACCACTGATACTTGATTGGTTATATCTGCTTAGATCTTTTTTACATGTGGGCATGTGCAGACACATCTGTTTGTGAAGATACATAGAGAGAACTTTAAAAATACCTTTGTGGTATCACGCCATATGTATTCTGTAATTTGTTCATCTTCATATTTTGTTTTGGAGTTATTTTCATGTCTGTACATACAGTTCTATTGCATTGTAATTTCGTAGTTTTTGTTTTCAATTATAAAAACAATGTATGCTTATTAAAACAAGTAAAATAGATCAAATCCACCAACTCCCCTTTCCCCCAGTTCCCACTCCTCTTGAATTAAGCCCTTCCCGGTATTTGTGCAGACACTGGCATTGTAGATAGAATTTGGATTTTTTTTTTTTTTTTTTACATGCAACATTAACATTTTGAACAGTTTCAGCTATTACTGAAACAGGTCATTTCTAAACTTAAAATTGGGACAAATGGCTGTACTGCAGAGTAGTGCCATTTTTGAGCACTGTGAATACAAGACTGAAGAATTAACAGCCACCCCTCAGATGGAGGACCAGGTGCAGGGTTAGCTGTTTCTGAATGTTGTAATCAGAAAGAGTGTGGCCATCTTCCAGCTGCTTGCCTGCAAAGATGAACCTCTGCTGGTCAGAAGGGATACCTTCTTTGTTCTGGATCTTGGCCTTCACATTCTCACTGGTATCACTGGGCTTAACTTAACCTCTAGGGTGTTGATCTTGCCTGTCAGGGTTTTCAGGAAGATCTGCATTTTGACCTGTTGGAAAATACAAAGATACTGCGAATTGGCAAACACATCCAGTCACCAGAAAGCCACAAGGCAGCCTCACAAAGCCAGTCGCCACTGAATGGAATTTTTTTAATAATTAAAAAAGATCAGGCCCTACAATTATTACTCAGATTATATCAGTCGAACAATACAAGGTAGACATCCTTCCAGTTTATTTTTTTGATAACTGTGCAAATAACAGTGCAGTAAACATCTTTGTACCTGATTTCACATACTTTGCTAGCATTTTTTATTAGGAAAGTGGTCAATGAGTGTGTTAATAAAAATGTTAGTGGGTGTGCCACATTGCTTTCCAAAAGTAATGTGTGAAGCTACACTTAGGTCTCAGAATCTCATGTTTACCATTCTGATGGTTGCAAAATTGTAACTTCTTATTTTAAATTGACATTTTCCTAACTACTGGTAGAGCAGAACATCTTTTTATAAGATTATTGACCACTGGATTTATTTTCAGTAGAGTGCCTGATTCATTTCTCTTGCTTATTTTTCTGTTGGGTTGCTTTTCTTTTTTTTTTTTTTTAAATCAGTTTATCACTTTTGGCAAATCTACTGCAAATATAGGTCTTTATAACATTTTCTTATGCAAGTAAAAATTTGTAATATAGGCAAATATTTTTATCTTTATGGCTTCTGAATTTTTATTTTGCTTGCAAAGGTCTCCCTCAGTCTAAATAGGTTTTAGAATTTTCAAATGTTTTTCCCTTTTTATTTCCATGTGGTTGATGATATTGAAAAAAATGTTGATTTTTTAAAATGTAATTAAGATTTTCTTAATTCATGTAATTTTTTAGTAGTCTTTAATATTCATTAAATTTTTTTTTCCCAACATTTTGAACCCTTTATCTCATGATTATATTACCTGAGTCTTATTGGGGCGAATAACAGCATTAGCAGATGTCACTGCCATGTTAATTAAGATGTGGTGTAAGTACGTTTAGCATTTCACTATTGAGTAGAATGTTTGCCCTTAGTTTTAGAAAATAGTCTCCAAGCCGGGGTCGGTGGCTCAGCCTGTAATCCCGCGCCTTTGGGAGGCTGAGGTGAGTGGATTGCCTGAGCCTATGGGTTCGAGACCCGCCTGGGCAGGCGAGACCTCATCTCTACAATAAATCAAAAAAGTAGCCGGGCGTGGTAGCGTGCGCCTGTAATTCCGGCTACTCAGAAGGCTGAGGCGGAAGGATCGCCGGAGCCCAGCAGGTCGAGGCTGCGGTGGCCGGGAGCGGCCACTGCACTCCAACCTGGGCAACAGAGTGAGACTCCAACTCAAAAAAAAAGAAAATAGTCTCTTTCATAATTAATTATATTGCCTGTTTATTTGTTTTATTTATGATTTTTATTAGGAATGACTGCTGAGTTGTCTTATGCCTATTTGATACTAGCATCAATTTTTATAGTATTTGTATTTAATAATGAATTAATTATGTTGATAAATTCTTAGTCATGAACTAGCTAACGCAAGACTCTTGAAATAATCCTTATGATAGTCTTCTAATACACGGTTATCTTCCCTTAGGTAGTATTTTATTTATAATTTTTTCCTTTATTCCTAGTGGAAAATATCTATTTTTCTCTCTCTTTGTACTGTCCTCCTGAAGGTGTGGGTGTTAGGTTTCCACTAGCCTCAGATTGGATTGCTGATCCAGAATATTGATAATTGCTGAAGACAGGTGCATGGGGATATGATTCGTTTCTCTGTATTACTGTGTGTGTTTGGAAATGATAAAGTTTTTAAACTTGAATTAGAGCTTTTCATATTTTTCTGTAGTCTAGGATAATTGAAGAAACAAAGTTTGTTTTTTCAAGGTTGAGAGAATGCAACTGTAAAACTATGTATACGTGATACTTTGTAAAATTATACATCTTGATTTATCTTTTTATTCATGATATATTTATCAGCTTTATTTAGCATTGTCTTGGTTCAACTTTTCTGTTTTCTTGAGGAAATAATGAACATTTACCTTTATTGTTTTGCTTGCCTTTAAAATTGATAACAGAATGAATATTATTAGAAATTTTTTTAGCACATATGTTAGTATTTCTCTAGGATAAATGTAGAAGTGGAATTAGAGTATGACATTTATATTTTTTGATTTGATAACTTCTCATTTTGCCCTCAGATAGTTAGTTTTGCACTTATTTTACCATCATTAGATGAGTGTCTATTTTTTTTTTTGATGTTGTCATGTGGAATTTCTCATGGGTGATAAGATTATTTCTTTTTTTTTAAATTCTTCTTTTTTGAAGTTGGGATCTCACTCTGTTGCCCAGGCTGGAGTACAGTGATACAACCACAGGTCGCCACAGCCTTGACCTCCTGTGCTCAGCTGATCTTTTGCCTTAGCCTCCTGAGTAACTGTACTACAGGCATGTGTCACCACACCCTGCTAATTTTTTATTTTTTATTTTTGGAGAGATGAGGCTCACTCTGTTGTCCAGTCTGGTCTCAAACTGCTGGACTCAAGCATTCTTCCCACGTTGACTTCCCAAGTGCTGGGATTACAGCACCTGGCAATTTCTAATTATTTTAAGTTGCATTTCCCTAGTTACTAGTAAGATTGAATGTGTTTCCATATTTGTTGTCTGTCTGTGCATCCTTTTTGGTATTGTTTTTCCTAGTATTTGTTCATTTTTCTTTTGACTTGTCTAACTGTTTTATAATTCTTTATTTTTCTAAATATCAAATTCTTATATATGTTGTTTAGGTCAACATATAGTCTTAATACTGAACTCTTACTATTTATGTTTGGTCAAACATGATGAAATTGCTAACATTGAGCTGTTAAAACTAAAAAACTTCATTTCATTTGGTTCAACCCAATATTATATATTTTTCCCAAATATTATTTATGTGTTTTAACCTTATTTTTATGTGATCACTTTTGTTGGTATACTATGGCTTCTGTGCACTGAGTCTTGTTTAAAAGACATTACTTTACCTGTTAATGATATAAAAATAAAAAAATAATTTTAGGACTTTATTGTATCCAAAATCCATGTATGTTTGTCGTTGACATGCATAGGGATCTAATTTTTTTGTGGACAGCTGTCCACAAATTTATTAAATAAATAAACACAATTTATTAAATAAATAATATGTTCTTTTCTAACAATTTTGGAATGCCACTTCTATGGTAGACTTTGCTACTGTGGATATGTTTCTTCATTTTCAATTTTATTACATTATCTGTTTTTCCTCCCTGTGGCAATGCTACTCTAGTTTTAATTGCTGGGATTTTATAATATATTGATAACTGTTAGTGCTAGTCACTTGTTGGTTTTTGAAGTTATCTCGCCTATTCTTATACTGTTGTCTTACAGATGATTTTCAGAGTTACTCTTATGCTCTTGATTTTTAATTTTAATAATGCAGTCTCCGGAGCAGAGAGGAAGAGAGAATTTCTAAACCTGGAGCTGTCTCAACTCCTGTAAAGCATGCAGATGATCACACACATAAAACAGTAGAAGAAGTTACAGTCGAAAGAAATGAGAAACAAGCACCTGCCCTTCCAGGTAAGCGTAACAGAATGCTGAATTCAAAAAACATTAGCAGTCAGACTAAAATCATTGCTGAGATTTACAGAAGGTTTTAAAGGTGTAATTTAGTCTCATCTATGTGAATTTTTCAGCATATGACTTCCAGCATTTTCCTTATGGATGGCAAGTTGGCATGGATTTGTAACCTTTCATGAATTTTTTTCTTTATTTTCTAGATAGAAAGCATTCATGGTTGACAGCTACTTGAATTATAAGTTTGTTCTCCAACACTACACATTCAAGAGAAACATTTGATTGGCTTCAAAAATTTAAAAACAAAAGTTATTTACTTAATGAGAATGTGTTCATAAGCATTGTTTACCTTTAAAGCTGTATATGAAGACCAGATATAAGAATGACAGAGAAATGTATAGATGATCTCCTCTTGTATCCTTCTGTTGTTCTTCCCTAGAGAATAGATTTTTCAAATTCTGACAGAGCTATGAAAAACACGGGTTACCTTGCAACATACATACTTGTTACTAAAACTTTAGAATTTCTTACTGTAAAATGTACTCTAATACATATGGTATATATGCTCCTGGTTTCTTATGTTATTATTCCATCTTTTTATAAAGTGAGTCCTGCACAGTTTATTTTTTTTTTCCTCTTAGAACCAAAGCCTGTGTATGCTCAAGTTGGGCAACCAGATGTGGATTTACCTGTCAGTCCATCTGATGGTGTCCTACCTAATTCAACTCATGAAGATGGGATTCTTCGGTAATGTGATTTTTGTCCATAATTAATTATTATTTAGAGTGAGAACTTATACTTTTAAAAGTAGTGCATACTACTTAATACTATGATTAGATTCTTTTTTAATTTAACAGTCTCCTACTTATGTAATAGTGTCGGACAGTGATTAGAGTAAAACCAATTTCTTAGATGTTCTCTCACCACTATCTACCTAGTTTTTAGGTTAGGAATTTTAAAAATAAAAAGTGTTCTATTTAGACATCAGAGTTTCCATAGTGTTTCTCAATTTGAGCACTATTGACGCTTTGGGTTAGATAACTGTTCATTGTGGGAGACTGTCCTATGCATTGTCACATGTTTAGCAGCTTCTCTGGCCACTAGATGCCATTAGCACCTCTATTCCATGTGTCCCCAGTTGGGACAACCAGAACTATCTTTAGACATTGCCAAATGTTCTCTGGGGACAAAAATCACCTGTGGTTAAGAACCTGTTCCAAGCCGGGCTCGGTGGCTCAGCCTGTAATCCCGCAACTTTGGGAGGCTGAGGTGAGTGGATGGCCTGAGCCCATGGTTCGAGACCCTCCTGGGCAACTTGACAAGACCTCATCTCTACAATAAGTCAAAAACGAGCCGGGCGTGGTAGCGCGCACCTGTAGTTCCAGCTACTTGGAAGGCTGAGGCGGAAGGATCCCCAGAGCCCAGCAGGTCGAGGCTGCGATGGCTGGGAGCGGCCACTACACTCCAGTCTGGGCGACAGAGTGAGACTCTAACTCAAAAAAAAAGAACCTGTTCTAGATTAATTTGCAACTCAAAACTAAGTTTTTGTGTCTTATGCCTTTTGTTCCTCTTTTTTTTTTTTTTGAGCCAGGAGTTAAATGTTTTTTGGCTGGTGTGCAGTGGCACAATCACAGCTCACCAAAGCCTCAACCTTCTGGGCTCAGGTCATCCTTCTGCCTCAGTAGCTCAGACACAGGCATGTACCGCCATGCCTGGCTAATGTTATGATGTTTTTGTAGAATGGGGTCTCACTGTGTTGCCTAGGCTGGTTTTAAACTCCTGGCATCTAGTGATCCTCCCCCCACTTTGACCTCCCAAAGTGGGGGATTACAGGTGTGAGCCACCTCACCTGGCCTACTGTTATGTTTTATCCTTAGAAGAATTATGGTTTTGTAAATAAGTTTCAAACCATCATGATTAGCAAATTAGTTTTTTTGTTGCCTCTGGTAAAAGGGACATGACGTGAGTAATTGAAAATTGACTAATTTCCTCAAGTGCATTAGATTTAGAACTTCCCACTCTTATTTATTTTCTCTGCTAAAGAAAATTGGGGCCGGGCATGGTGATTCACACCTGTAATCCCAGCAGTTTAAGAGGCCTAGGCAGGAGGACTACTTGAGTCCAAGATTTCAAGACCAGTCTGGGCAACATTGCGAGACCTCGCCTCTATAAAATAATTTAAAAATCAGGCTCTGTGGCTCAGTCTGTAATCCCGCACCTTTGGGAGGCTGAGGTGAGTGGATTGCCTGAGCCTGTGGGTTCGAGACCCGCCTGGGCAGTGAGACCTCATCTCTACAATAAATCAAAAAATCAGCCGGACGTAGTAGCGCATGCCTATAATTCCGGCTAATCGGAAGGTTGAGGCGGAAGGATCGCCGGAGCCCAGCAGGTCAAGGCTGCGGTGGCCGCTCAGTCTGGGCGACAGAGTGAGACTCCAGCTCAAAAAAAAATAAAAATAAAATAAAAATTAGCTGGATGTGGTGTCATGTGCCTGTAGTCAAGAGACTGAGGGAGAAGGATTGAAAACCCAGGAGTTTACAGCTGCAGTGAGCCATGATTGTGCCACTGCACTACAGCCTTGGTGACAGAATGAGACCCTGACTCAGAAAAAAAATTATTACCTCAAGACCCAACTAGGCAGATAAATACAGTTTCTGAAGTAGGTAGAGAGTATACAAGTTTTAAATAGCACATTTTAAATATTAAGTGATTGATAATTCAGACTTTCATAAATTGTGAAAGCATAGTCCCCCCCCCTTTTTTTTCCCTTTTCTTGGGGGAGTTAGTTGAAAGCTTTTATAAGTCTTGAAGGTTTAGGAAACTTGAATGATAAGATTCCAGAGATGTACTTCTTTGGGAACGCCCTAAAGAACAAATACCAAAGAAGGCTTGGGGGTGTGGACAGGATTAGTAGCTGAGCCAGGAAAGGTTTGGTTTTTCATTTAAGTCTAATGAATGCATTAAAGGCAGAAGTAGTTAGTGAGTCTATACTATTATATATATTTGATATAATACAGATGGGGCAAAGTGTGAAATGTTAGTCATCTAAGGCACATGACACTCTTGGTGAGATTTGACCTAAAACTGTCCTCTAACAGTAATTTTCAAAAGCTAAATTTTCTTTTTTCTTCATTTATTTTTATTTTTTGAGTTGGAGTCTCACTCTGTCGCCCAGACTGGAGTGCAGTGGCCACTCCCGGCCACCGCAGCCTCGACCTGCTGGCCTCTGGCGATCCTTCCGCCTCAGCCTTCCAAGTAGCTGTAATTACAGGCATGCACTACCACACCGGCTGATTTTTTGATTTATTGTAGAGATGAAGTCTCGCTGCCCAGGCGGGTCTTGAACCCGTGGGCTCAGGCAATCCACTCACCTCAGCCTCCCAAAGACGCGGGATTATAGGCTGAGCCACCGAGCCCAGCTAAAAGCTAGATTTTCAAAAGCGCTCATGTGGTTTTACTTTTTGAGGGACACTGCTAGGTTGGTCAAGGGCAGGAGAGGATTTTTCTAAGGACGAGAGTCTTAAGTCCTTTGAGGAAATGTTTAAAGAGCTTTCTGTATAGTTGGTTTAAGAGAAGAATCTGTGAGAATCCTTTTGACTCAGTTGGTAAGGTAGGATACCATCACAACCAAGGGACTCAGACCATTCATATAGTAAAGCTGATAGCTTAATGGAGAGATCAAAGATGCCACCAGCCCTGTCAGTGAGTGACCTCATCTAACCTACAGGCTCTTACTTTTGTATGTAGCTAATGCTAATTCCAGATCAGGAAACTGAATCAAAGGTGAATACATTATAAGTTCAAAAAGCTAAGGTGGTCTTTAACTAGTTAGTTTAAAAGGACTAGAAATCTCTCCTCCTTCAACTCACTCATTTATTTGATTTGTGCTGTTTAGTTATTTTCTATTTCAATAATTGGTTATTGTTACTTTCTGCTTAGTAAATTAAGAGGAAAATGACTTTTTCTACACCTCATGTCAGAATAGGTAAAATAGTGTGTTTTCTTGGCAAAGAATGTGGGAGTACTTAGGAAAACCTGTAAGAGAAACACAAAGAGTGATTTGTTCTGATCTGTTTCTGCCTAGCCATTCTTCTAACGCACTCTTCAGTATTTGTTTTAGGAGTATCACAAGTGTCAGCACTACACTGGTACCAGAAGGGGGTGGTATACATGCATTAATTTTTTTATTCTCTCTCTAACAGGAAAGGGGCAGAGATTGGATATGGGCTAATATAAAAAGACTGAATGATTATAAGATTTGTGTGTTAAAATTCAAGGGGCAACAGAGTAAATGAACAACTCTGATCCAACTGCAAAATTTTTAAAATCGCTGTCTTGTGGGTGTAGCAATTACAATGCCATAGAGAACCCCTGATTTACACTCCATGATGTCAGGAAAATTTGTCAATTTATTCTTCAGTGTCTACTTTTATTTTTAAAATGGGACTTTTCAGTTATTCAGTAGAGAAGATTATGGTGTGAATTGAGTTGAAAAAAATGGAACTTGGTTGGCCATTGAAATGCATTATATGTACCCAAGACTGAGAGTTGAAAAAAAATTATTTTAGAAAGTAATTTTATAAATTAGTTATATAAAACAGAACTTGTATATTAACCCTTTGTACTTGGAGACATCTCGCGGATCACCTACCAGCAACTTTACTGCACAGTTTTTGTTTTTGTTTTTTTGAGTTGGAGTCTCACTGTGTCGCCCAGACTGGAGTGCAGTGGCCACTCCTGGCCACCGCAGCCTCGACCTGCTGGGCTCCAGCTATCCTTCCACCTCAGCCTCCCAAGTAGCCGAAACTACAGGCGTGTGCTACCACGCCCAGCTAATCCTCTTGCCTCAGCCTCCCAAAGTGCTGGGATTACAGGCTGAACCACTGAGCCCGGCCTTGACTGCACTTTTTTGTGAAATAGTGAAAAACAAATCACTTCATATTAAATAGTACAGTGTTGGAACAAATTATTTTATTGTAATGATATTTGGCTTATAATGGAATTTTGGACATTGAAGAACTTATTTATGACCAAAAAATAAAAATTTTATATCTTACATTTTTCTAATGTGGTAATGTATGAAATAGTAACCAACAAGCCTTCCAGGTTCATTGATATATGTTGTACAGTAGTAATTTGTTTGATGTCTTCCACTTGGTGTTTTTCTATTGAGTGGACAATGCAGTCTCGTTTTCATCCTCCCACATTAATAATATGTAACTTATTATCCAGTCTGTTGTTTGAAGATGATGTGGAAGGACACACTCATGATTCCTGAAAACTACTTCTCAACTGACCAATGAGAAACTTGACAAATTTCACATGAAACATAGGTTTTCATTGTTTTTGAATGGAATACTTAAAGAAAACATACATTTTTGAAACTTTGCAGTTGTATGAGTTTGTTCTGTATAATCACCAGCAATCTCTTTATGTCCTCTAAGAGGGGACATCTGAGTGGTTTGGTAGATTTGCAATGTCTCCTCAGAGGGGACATGTGAGTGCAAGGGGTTAAATTTGGATTTCCTAAAACTTACTTTGTTAATCATAAGGTGTTATTGAATCTGATTTTGAATTCTATCACTAAATTTTATTCAGTAAATTAGTAATGTGTGAGAAATTTTAGAAATGATGGTTCCTTTATTTCATTTTGAATATGGTTTTTATAGTAGCAGTTTGCTGTTACTTCTCAAGCTTCTCTTAAGTTTTTCAAATGAAATATCTACTTTAACAGGCCCAGCATGAAATTGGTAAAATTCAAAAAAGGAGATAGTGTGGGTTTACGGCTGGCTGGTGGAAATGATGTTGGAATATTTGTGGCTGGCGTTCTGGAAGATAGCCCTGCAGCCAAAGAAGGCTTAGAGGAAGGGGATCAAATTCTCAGGGTATGTCAGTATTTAAACCTACATGGATTTCAAAGTACTCAGATCTATAGAAATAGGCATCAAACACAATTGACCTACCGCTGTAATTAAATTGTAATCTGTGTACTGTTTCTTGCGCTAACTAGACTTTGAAAGTAAAAAATTCATTAGTTCTGGCTTAGGCTGGACTTTGCATTTCCCATTTCTACATTTGCTCTAGTTCACTGCTGTGTTATACTTACTATATAGTATGATGTTTCACATTAGTCACTAGTGTTCACAGAACCTACAAGAAAGTAAGTCTTATATTCCTATTGATATCCTGGTGAATGTAAAGTTAAACATTCAGATTGACAAGACTGCCATGGGTCACAACTTGCTGGCAAGGAGCATCATGTATTCCTCTAATGGGGGTCATCTTTGAAGGCAGTCTACATAGCCTCTAGGACCTTCTTCACCCCAAATCATGGCTCAGGCACAGAGGGATGGAATTTACATCAGGGGCAAATAGGTAAGCTGCCCTGGCTTTGAAACTTCATACCCCACAAGAGGCAGGATTAGTTAGAGAAAATCTGGAAAACTCAGGTTAGACACCATCTATCAGTGGAGTCATTCGGGTCTTTTGATTTTTCTTTCTTCTTCCCTCCCTCTGTCTCTCTCTGTGTCTCTGTCTCTGTCTCCCCTCTGTCTCTCTCTGTGTCTCTGTCTCTGTCTCTCTCTCTCTCTCTCTCTCTCTCTCTCTCTCTCTCTCTTTTTCTCTTTCTCTCTCTCACTTTTCTATAAAGCAAAGCTGCCTAGTAATAGTACTATTTTCATCTGTCTCTTCTCTTTTTAAAATATCCAAATCTCCATTGATTTCTGGTAGATAAACTATGTCCCATTTTAATCAGAAGACTGCACCTCTCAGATGTGAATTGCTGCACTAACTCTCTCTCCACCTCAAAGTATCTTTGCCATGCTGGCTCACTTCTGGTCTCTTTTGCATTCACATTACCTGTGTCCTGGATTTAGTGTTGTGTCTACTCTGGCATCTTGCAGCTTTGTTCACCTTTTTTTATTTCCCTCTTTCTTAGTTCATCTGTCTTCCACTGTCTTGTTTCTCTACTTTGGCTGTTGAACTTGTTGAAACTGTGGCTGATTCTCTTCCTTGTTTTCCTTTCAGTCATTGTGATCGTACAGTTTTACAGTCTGGCTTCCGCTTTAACCACTGATGAATCTGAGTTTTCAACAAACCATCATTGAACTAGCATCATTCTCATCCCTCAGCTTTCTTTATCTTTAGCAGTGTTTTGACTGTCTTTAATCTCTCTTCAAGTGTGTCCTTTCTTGAATATCATAATACTGCCATCCTGGTATTCCTCTAATCTTTTTTATTCTTTTCCTGCCTTCTTTACTGATTCTTTTAAAACTTAGGGGATGCCGGTAACTCTCTGCTTCCCTCTTGTTATACAGTCTCCATCATAGGTTTGGTCGCTTACATGAGCAGCCCACAGTCAGTCTTTTCACACACTAAGCAATTTCCTGCATCCCCTCAGATTGCCATCCACGGTCATTTTCATCTGATTCTCCTTTCCCTTCAAACTAAACAAGTCAGGAAGTCTAGGCATCTTCTCCAACTTACTGATTTCCATCTGACATTGTATTGTGATTCTTTTTGATGATATTTACATTGTTCTCAATTCAGTTATGTCAGAAACATTTGAACACATGTATAATGATGTTTACTATGCCAGGAAAATTAAACCTATTTTCTTACTCACCTTATATGCTATTTTGAAGTAATCCAGGCATGCATTTAAAACTATTTTTTAATAGTTTATTTTTATTTGTATCATAAAAGTAAGTAGTACATGTTGGTGTTTTGTTTTTAATTGGGAAAATTTCCAGAAGGTGGAAAGAGAACCCACTGGTAATCCTCCTCACAATAACTGGTTGCATTTTGATAAAAGTTTCATTTTGGTACTTCCAAGCTTCTGATAGAAGTAAATATTAACTTGACAGATACTGAGTCTGCATTATACAAATGCTGTTATAGAGATCCCAAAGTGCATACTTTTTTTAAAAATGCCATTTACTGTTTGTTTCTTTTTCAGTGACTAGTGGCAAAATAGGACTGTATTAGACATTCATAGACTATATAATTTAAAATGTCTAAACCCAAAGATTTTACATTAATAATGAGTGCCTGCTTGTTTTAAGTTAGACTATATTCTTTTCTCCAAAGTAAAATAAATTTTTCCCTGTTAAAGATATGATATTTTCAGATTAAGTAGACTCTGAGAATATTGGTGTCCTGTATATAAAAATATTTTTATATTCTTAAACAGCCAAGAATGATTTACAAAATTTTATTTTTATAGGTAAACAACGTAGATTTCACAAACATCATAAGAGAAGAAGCCGTCCTTTTCCTACTTGACCTCCCTAAAGGAGAAGAAGTGACCATATTGGCTCAGAAGAAGAAAGATGGTGAGATACTGTCAGAAAATAGAGGAAATAAACCTGTAGGAGTTTGAGGACTTACATAGGGATTTATTCAGTTTTTAAAAGATAAATCACTCAAAGTTGAGTGATGAATGAATTTGTTAATTTCAGAGTGAGTTAATTTTATTTATTTTAAGTCATTCCTCCAAATGCCATCCAACCCTTACAAGTCATAGAAACATTCTACTTATTTATTAGCTGTCAGAACCATGCAGAAGTATATACTGGTAGCTTTCCATTTTTGTACTGATGTTTTCTAAGCAATATACTTAGATGTTTGTTATCATTAATTCAAGAGAAACCTAATTATCTCAGTGATAAATTCAGATACACTTTTTGTTTAGAACAGGGCTTTCAGCCTCTACGCTGTTGGCATTTTAGGCCAAATAATGCTGTGTTTTAGGGTCTGTCCTGGGCATTGTAGGATGTTAGGAGCATTCCTAGTCTCTACCCACCAGGTAAGATGCCATCAGGATACATCCTCCCCACTTAGTACACACACTTGCAGTAATCAAAAATGTCTCCAGGCCGGGCTCGGTGGCTCAACCTGTAATCCCAGTGCTTTGGGAGGCCGAGGCAAGTGGATCGCCTGAGTCCATGGGTTCGAGACCCACCTGGGCAACTTGGCGAGACTTCATCTCTACAATAAATCAAAAATTAGCCAAGCGTGGTAGTGTGCACCTGTAGTTCCAGATACTTGAAAGCCTGAGGCGGAAGAATCACCGGAGCCCAGCAGGTCGAGGCTGCGGTGGCTGGGAGTATGCCGCTGCATTCCAGTCTGGGCGACAGAATGAGACTCCAACTCAAAAAAAAAAAAAAAAAAAAGTCTCCGGATATTGGCAAATGTGCCCTAGAATGGCAAGGGATAAAATTGCCATGATTTGAGAACCACTGATTTAGAATATGTGAATGTCTATAATGTTTACAAATAAATTAAATTAGATGATATAAACACAAAACAAGTGTGTGGCTTTGGACAATTACTTGATCTATTTCTGCAGCTGTTTTCTCATCTGCCATTGGAGGTGCTGAGAGTTTCCATTTCTTGAGGTCATGGTGATGGGTACATGAGATATAATACTTAATACAGTACCTGTATTACATAGTAAGAATTTAGCATTTGTTGGATACTGTTGTTGTTAATATTTTCAAGAGCATTTTCACATAATGTCCACTTCAGATTAACCTCTCATTCCACTAAATATTGATAATTTGTTTTGATTCTTTTTAGTTTATCGTCGCATTGTAGAATCAGATGTAGGAGATTCTTTCTATATTAGAACCCATTTTGAATATGAAAAAGAATCTCCCTATGGACTTAGCTTTAACAAAGGAGAGGTGTTCCGTGTTGTGGATACCTTGTACAATGGAAAACTGGGCTCTTGGCTTGCCATTCGAATTGGAAAAAATCATAAGGAGGTAGAACGAGGCATCATCCCTAATAAGAACAGGTATGAAGGCTTGAATACATCTCATAGAACAAGTTAAGTAAATGATGATAGACTGTTTCAATACCACTGGGAAATTTTGGTGATATAAAGAATTATTGTATTTATATATCTATAACTGAGTTTTATAAAGCTTCTTTATTATAACCATTAAGATTTAAACTGGGGCAACCCCTTCAGGTCCCCTCCCACTGTGGGAGCTTTTCTGTCCTCAATAAATCCTGCTTTAAAAAAAAAGATTTAAACTGCATGTAAATGTCTATTCAGTATTATTAATATATGTCGTTTCATTGTGAGCCTTTTTCCATTTTGTTTATTTTGCCTTTAATTTTATCTTTTCTCGTATAGAGCTGAGCAGCTAGCCAGTGTACAGTACACACTTCCAAAAACAGCAGGGGGAGACCGCGCTGACTTCTGGAGATTCAGAGGTCTTCGCAGCTCCAAGAGAAATCTTCGAAAAAGCAGAGAGGATTTGTCAGCTCAGCCAGTTCAAACAAAGTTTCCAGCTTATGAAAGGGTGGTTCTTCGAGAAGGTAGTTTATTTTCTACAGACTAACCTTATGCCCTCTAATGTCAATATGTTTAAGAAAGAAAAGGTATAAGCTGTGCTATTTTTCATTTAAATTTCTTTCCAGCTGGATTTCTGAGGCCTGTAACCATCTTTGGACCAATAGCTGATGTTGCCAGAGAGAAACTGGCAAGAGAAGAACCAGATATTTATCAGATTGCAAGTAAGTAACCTGCAGACTGACTTAAGATGACATTGACAGTGTTTCTTTACCAGTTATTCTTCTAGAAGAATGAATCTGATCCATTCACTTAATAAAAACAAAACTTTTTATAAGTAAAAAATTTGCAGTTTATCCCATTCTTTTAATTTAGAGGGAAACCGAAGTGACTGTGTCTTTATTCCACCAATTCCTTTTTTTTTTTTTTGAGTTGGAGTCTCACTCCATCGCCCAGACTGGAGTGAAGTGGCACGCTTACAGCCGCCCCAGCGTCAACCTGCTGGGCTCCAGCAGTCCTTCCACCTCAGTCTTCCAAGTAGCTGGAACTATAAGTGCACGTTACAAGGCTTGGCTGTTTTCTGTTTTTTATTGTGGAGACAAGTTCTCGCCAAGTTGCCCAGGCTAGTCTCGAGTCTGCGGGCTGAGGCAGTCCACTTGTCTCGACCTCCCTAAATGCTGGGATTACTGGCTGAGCCACCGAGCCCAGCCAATTCCACCAGTTCATTTTAATAAGAATCACCATTTATGAAACTCTTGGCCTCCTGTGAAAACTGCTTAGCACACAGTCTTGTTTAATTCTCACTACTACCTTGAGGTAAGAATTATAATATCCACTTTATACTCGCACACTCTGAGCCTTGGGGTGGTTACAATTGGGATCAACGACCTCATTAAACTTTTCTGTAGACACTCAGTGGTGAGTAAAAAGACTGGACTTTGACCACATTCTTTCTGGCTCCAATCCAGTGCTTTTCATCATTAAACTAACAAATATGGAAATAGGTAAAAAGGATGATAAGCATTGGCTAATGCTTTCAATTGTTATCACTGTAGACCTTGGTATAAGGTAGTATAAAATGTAAATACTGAGGCTACAGTATTTTATATGCCAAATAGATTTTGCTTACAGATCCATTGTTTTATTTCTTTTTTTTTTTTTTGAGTTGGAGTCTCACTCTGTCGCCCAGACTGGAGTGCAGTGTCCGCTTCCGGCCACCACAGCCTCAACCTGCTGGGCTCCGGCGATCCTTCCGCCTCAGCCTTCCAAGTAGCCGGAATTACAGGCATGCGCTACTACGCCCGGCTGATTTTTTGATTTATTGTAGAGATGAGGTCTCACTGCCCAGGCAGGTCTCGAACCCACGGGCCAGGCAATCCACTCACCTCAGCCTCCCAAAGGCGCGGGATTACAAGCTGAGCCACCGAGCCCAGCCATTGTTTTATTTCTTAAGTGTTTTTCTAATTATAAAAATATTCTGTATTTGGAAAAGTTAGAACGTTAATTTTGACATACATTACCACCATCCTAAATTTTACCCCACTGTATTTTCTTCAGCCCTTTTAAGCATACTTTGACCAAGGTTTATTTGTACTATTTGCATATCTTGTTTTTCTTCTTAATAGGTAATGACACATTTTTATTTTATTATCTATCCTGTAAACATTTTTAATTTGATGAACTTTTTTTTAATGTAGTTTGTTTCAAATTTGTAGTTTACCTGTTACCTGTTTCTATGTTATAGAAATCTGTCCATATTTTGTTTGCTTGCTTATGCTCTGCCTTATTTCCCGAAAAACTTAAATCCTATTTTCCCATATTGATGATGAATTGTTACTGCTTCCAGAGTTGTGCCATGGAATTTTGTTGTACATAATGGCAGTATCTGAGACCCTAATTAACACATTTTTACTATAATGTTTTTATTTTTAATTTTTAGAGACTATGTCTCGCTCCGTTGCCCAGGTTGGAATATAGTGGCACAATCATGGCTCACTACAGCCTTGACCTCCTGGACTCTAACGATCCTCCTGCCTTAGCTTCCTGATTAGCTGGGATTACAGATGTGTGCCATCTCACCTGGCTAATTTTTTTTAATTTTGTATAGAGATGGCTTCTCACTATGTTTAACAGATTGGTTTCAGATTCCTGGCTTCAAGCAATCCTCCCTCCTCAGACCTCCCAAAGTGCTGGAATTACAGCATCAGCCACCATGCTGGCCTAATTAATACTTTTAAAGTATTATAGTGTTAATTTAAAGACTTCAACATTACCTTTTTTAATATATTGCTTTTCATTTGGTTGTGAATGAAGTTGAATGAGGATATTTTTGGAAAAATCAGAAGATTTGCAAATGGCAGTACAATTTAAACAAGTTGGAAAATGATTTCTGTTTTCCCGCTTAGTTTTTTCAGAAGAGGTCTTTTTATGTCATTGTTTGTATATAACATTTCAACTAAAGAAGTTGGTGGTGACCCCATAATCAAATTAAGGGTTTTTAAATGTAGGAATAGCAAGTGTGAAGACTTAAAGAATTCTAACTCTACCTTAAGGGGTAGTAGATTGGTTTAATTAGACTGACTTCACAACTAGGCTATTATAAAAGGGATTCAGGTAGCTTAGTCTCGTGTCCTCTTTGAATCTAATGAGTCTTTTGAATTAAGAAATTAAGAGCATTTTCTATGACAGAAACTCCCAGTTGAGGTAAGAATTATAATATCTATGTTACAGTCAAGCATCCTGACCCTTAATTCTCCTGTGTTGACCAGATTTGAAATTCTGCCCTGTTTGCCCATGGAGCTTTGTCTTAAGATAGTCTCATTCTCAAAAATTATTCCGCTTGTCTCTCAGTGTGACTTGTCTTTCCAAGTTTCGGCCTTTGATCTGAAACACCATAGCTTTTCCTTTTCCTTCATGCTTTCCTTGTGACCAGAGTCATAAATATCGCTGTTCCTTTTTACTGAAGAACTTCATGTAAATTGAACTAATGAGGTGATGTTGGTTAGAAATCAACCCAAGTTGCATTGGCATTTCATACGCCAGTGGAAAGGGACAGGTTGCCAGGATGAAGCCATAGGCTGTCTCACAGTTACAGATTAACAGCTTTCCCTGCTCCCAAGTTCCCTGTCTGCTGATGTGCCTAGGTTATCTAAATCAGAACTTCCTAGACCATCTGCCATAACATTGTTGCTGGTGGTTTATGGACATGCCAAGGTATTGATCTCCTCAGCCAGCAGTGGCTGGGCTGAGTTGACACAGGAGCAGCCTCCTCAGTTTTTCTCGGTATACTATACAAATAATAGGATTTTCTCTTTATGTCATAGCGTGGAAAAGGGTGGGAAGTAGTGCTGTGCTGAGCTGTGTTGGAGCCTCAGGCAAAAGAAAAAAATGTTCCAAACAATTTATTATAATTTTACTGTCCTGTCTTTAATTGAAGCAGGCTCATCAATTCTATTTTTAAAATCTTAATTATCTCATTTTCAAGTGAGAGAACTGCCATATTTGATGTTTATCTTGACCAAGTGACAATCTTAAATAATTTTTACCAAAGTTTTGCTTGCTCATTGACTCTGTTTAAAATTTTGATGTGCTGTTTGTTTCATGTGGGTTTTTTTTGACATCACCTTTTGTTTTTCTAAAAAATCCTGCATCAAAATTTCAGTTTAATTACTGAGATTTTCAGGGGGGGCATCCTCTTAAGTTTATACTTGAAGCAGGTGCCCCTCTTGCCTTCTAATCCTGGCCATGTTGGGTGGCATTGATCTAACTCGATGGGAGTAGGGGTGTGCTACTGACCTCTAGTGGGTAGAGTATAGAAATGCTGCTATACATAAGCCACAATGTGCAGTACAAGACAGTCCCCACAAAGTGTTTTAGCCAGCCCAGCTTGTCAGTGGTGACCAGTATTTGAGAAACTCTAATCTAACCAATGAAAATTTACTGTTTTACTTTTGTCCTGACTTATGAATAGAAAGTGAACCCCGAGATGCTGGAACTGACCAACGTAGCTCTGGCATTATTCGCCTTCATACAATAAAGCAAATCATAGATCAAGTAAGTTATCAAAACTGATCTGTTTCGTTGTAAGTTGTCATTGTGTTTTTGAGTGGGATTAAATTTAGTTAATTTAAAAGTAGAAGGTAGTTTTTCCTTAGATTATTACTGCTGTGCCATAAGAAAATGAAGGCCTTTCTGAAAGGTGTTATAATAATTACCTTTAAGAAAACAGTTATTGTAGGCATCAAATGATAATTTTTCATTACTACTAAACAAGTATGTAATGTTCAGGTGTAATTGACAGATTGTTTATATTACATTAGTATAATTCAAGTTTTGCATTTTGGTATATTGCATAGGGAATATCAGGAACATTGAATTATTATACTTATTATCCTATAACTGAAAACAGATAAAGTTTTTTAGAAATTGAACTGGAAATTATATTGAATTCTGATTATAATTTTTTTGACATGTGCTCCTGAGACATATTAGAATAAAATAAAAGTCCCACTGCTGCTGAAATGTAGCATAAACTGCCTTTTTCTGAAGATAACGATTCTTAATTTATGATGTCTTACACCTTTGTGTATGTTTTTCTTTCTGTCTCCAGGACAAACATGCTTTATTAGATGTAACACCAAATGCAGTTGATCGTCTTAATTATGCCCAGTGGTATCCAATTGTTGTATTTCTAAATCCTGATTCTAAGCAAGGTGTGAAAACAATGAGGATGAGGTTATGTCCAGAATCCCGGAAAAGTGCCAGGAAATTATATGAGCGATCTCATAAACTTCGTAAAAATAATCACCATCTTTTTACAAGTGAGTATGTTAAAGGCCACCTTTCAGCTTAAAATGTCCAGGCAACAATATGTAGGCAAAAATGTTGTGCTGTTCACATATTAAAACTTATATGACCTTTACTGGAAAGCTTCCTGTGCCAAAATAGAAATTTCAAATATTTTTATCCCCATATGCCATTGTTTTAGTAATGATGATTGAGCTGTAAGCATGGTTGAATGAACTCTTCTGGCTTTGGCTATGTTCTAACCATAAACGACATTGTTCATTTATTTTCAGCAACAATTAACTTAAATTCAATGAATGATGGTTGGTATGGTGCATTGAAAGAAGCAATTCAACAACAACAGAACCAGCTGGTATGGGTTTCTGAGGGAAAGGTAAGAAATTTCTATTACTTTTTGACATGTCCAATGAATTACATAACTAATCAGAGATGCCTTTGAGTTATTCTTGTTATCTTATTGGATCAACATATTAGAGTAATTTGGAGAAAATAAGCTTTTAGGTTTTTATAATTTGTTTGTAGGGGTTATAAAAGTTGTTTTTGATAGAGATTCTTACATTTTCTACCTGTTGAATTAACACATTGGTAGGACTCTCTCTTAAACAATTCTCAAATAATGAAAAACAAGTTGGGTTCTGACTCTGCTCTTATCTGGCTGTGAAATGACAGCTTGGAACCTGGCTTTAGTTTGCGCCTCTAAAAATGAGGGGATTTGGATGGCCTAGATGAGCTGCTCCCAAAATACTGTCCCAGCACACTGAACTCAGACCTCGCTGTGAGAGAAAAGGCACTCTGAAGGCAAGCAGTGGGTGGGAACCTGCACACCCAAGTGCCCTTGAGGAGTGTCACGGTAGCCGCTTGCATTTAGAGGTTCTGAGACATCTAGAAAGTTAAAAAGAATGCTTTTGAGCATTTCCTCACACTTTTACCTATGAATTTTTTTTTCACTCAGCACCTGTTAACATTCTTACAACATCCTGGGAAGTACTGAATAAAGCAACAGTTCTTTGAATTTTGGTTGTATATATGTCCAAATGACCAGCTTTAAAATAACTGCCTTCTGTTATCAGTCTTTCTTGTTTTAAAGCAGTCTTTGATGGGAAGGGTCTGTTTATTTTGTCTGGAGAGTTAATCATTTTCTCAAAGTACACCATTGAAGGAACCTTAATTTTTTTCAGTGTCTTTTACCTTCTTCAGATGAGCATAGTATTTATAAGTTTTGGTTGTTAGGAAAGACTGAGACTGTGTCTGTTTTTTTATTTTGTTTGTTTGTTTGTTTTGTATTCCTTGTTGGTTTGGTTTTTGTTGTGTTTTGCCCCTGCATGGTCCCTACCTTCCTCTGCCTGGCTGTGGCTACAGATGCTCTGGCAATGCATGCTGCATGCTTAGGACCACCGTGCCCCTATCCAGAAACACACAGCCTCTGTAAGAAGAGATGTTAAACGTTTACATCTAGAGGTAGCGTCTGCCGTTCTCACCTATAGTAATGCATCAGAACCGTGATTTTTCTCATTGTGTACCAGTTTGGGGGATGAGCCATGCATATGAGATCATAAGACCACTTTGAATAACTTACATGTCACTGGGACACTTGATAGGAAAACCAAGGTGAAAAAAACCACTACACCATTTTACAACAACACACTATTACTAATTTTTACTTTTGCAGCATTTGATAAAAAAGATTGCAGTCTTCATACTGATCTTATCTAACAACAGAATTCTGTTAACATCCTTTATATCAGGTAGAATGTTAATAGGTTGTACTGCTGAATTCTTTTTTTTTTTAATTAGAAAAAGTATAGTTTATTTAGAACATAAATTTAAGAGAGAAAGAGGAGATACACCTTTCCAAGGTAGGGGAGGGGGCCAAAGCCAGGAAACATGGCCTGGCCATAGCTCAAAGAGCACATGGCCACACCATAGCTTAGCAAGGCAATGGCCCGCACTGCTGAATTCTTAAAATGAAATTGGTCTATAAATCATTTCCAAAGATGCACAACGTATACCGGTCTACCTATCTGAGAGGTTATTTTAATCCACAAATTGTAATTTTTTTATAATTCCTCTTTGTAATATTATTGTAGGTTTCCTTTCTTTACTTGGTTTTAAAATAAAGTTCTAACTCCCCAGCTTTTCAGGTGAGAAAAAATAGGTCATTTATTATTAGTCTAGACTGATATGTTTTGTAAATCAGAAAAGGCTGTTGCAACTTAAAGTAAGCTTATCTTCCTGCCCCCTTTTATTCAAGTATATTGTGTCAGAATAGATAGATTTTTAAACTAAAACCACTTCATTTCACATTGACTTTCCTGAACTAATTAATGTCACTTAGTTTTTAGGAAGAGTTCCTTTTTACAAGATCTGACACAGTCTTGTATGTTCCCTAGTAAACCAAAATAAAAAATCATCCTGAGGCTTTCTTAACTTGTAGACATATCATTTCCTAATTCACAGCAACTCATGGTTCTTTGTTCACTTCTGCATTTCAAACCAGCTGCAAAAACTAGAATTTGTGAGTTCCAGGATTTAAATATTTCTGTGGCTGGCCACTGCATTATAGTCATCCAGAACCCTGGCAAGTTAAAGATTAGATAGCAAGAAACTTCTCTTCTACAACCACCATTACAGGAAGCCATTTAAACTTCGGTCAGAGAGATTCTACTCTAACAGGGCAGAGCCCTGGGATTCTCGCTCTACGTAGCCTGGCAGGTGCTCTGTTGTAAACCAGAGTGGGGGAAGGCCTGACATGACCTAGTCATTTCTTATCAAGGAGGCAGTGCTCAGGGTCAGGCTCTTACAAAGCCAAGCATGAGACTGTAGGGAAAGCTTTACTTAGGCAGCTTGACTCCCAAAACCCTGCTTCTGGCACAGCAGACCTGCAGAGCCATGCCAAGCCAAGCCTGCTAGCTATAGCATTGCATCTTCCTGGAAAACAAGAGCTTTATGTGTGTCCTTCAATCCATGCTGAAATGAAGGAAATAGTTTCTGATTTCTGTATTCCAGATCCTTCAGCTCTCATGCCTAACTGGTTACAGTGTCTAGGCAAGATCCTCAGGATCTGTCCTATTCAATCCAGATCCTAGTTTCAAATTAGTATCCAGTGACAACTTATTAATTGCAACTTTATAGCTCCCTTTCCTTCAAATACTTCTCATTTTCTTTCTGATCTACTGGGAAGATAATCAGCACAGGCCATTAGAAACTGAGCTCTTTATCACTTTCAAAATAAAAGCATAACTGCATTTCTTCCTCTCCATCCTTTGGATACTGCTTCTGTGAAAAATAATTTTAAAAAATTACTTCTTAATTTAATGGAGCAGCCACATAAGTGCTGATTTTCTGTTATGTTTTATAGCAGCTTTAATTAAGGGCCAGATACCAACTTTTTAGAAGTTGTTTTCTCAGCATAAATATATTCACTCTTACTCAGTTTGAGTGGTAGGGTTTATTTCATAGTTATTCTCACGTTTGCTGTTCTGTCAGTGTGTTTTTGTGAGCTTGACTTGGTAATATTCTTCCTCTTCACTTTGCTTTGGGCTGAAAAGCTTGTGACTAGGTTTTTACAAACCTGAGTAGTACCCCAGGGTTCCTTCATTGTCTTCTAGGGCTGGGCCCTGGAGTCCAGCTTTGTCTGGCTGACCAGCTGATGTTTCATTCTTCCAAGCCCTTCAGCTCTCAAGGGATGCTCTGTGTGTTTGCATGCATGCTTATACAGTCTTCCTGACTGTTCCTCACCAGAAGTTTCAATAAATAGATGTGATTTCTCCAAAGAAAAATATCCTTTCAATCTCCCTTGTAAAATAAAGGCCATCTCTTAAAGAATTATTGAATAAAATTTTTAATTTACTTTTATTTGACCCAGGCGGATGGTGCTACAAGTGATGACCTTGATTTGCATGATGATCGTCTGTCCTACCTGTCAGCCCCAGGTAGTGAATACTCAATGTATAGCACGGACAGTAGACACACTTCTGACTATGAAGATACAGATACAGAAGGCGGGGCCTACACTGATCAAGAACTAGATGAAACTCTTAATGATGAGGTTGGGACTCCACCGGAGTCTGCCATTACACGGTCCTCTGAGCCTGTAAGAGAGGACTCCTCTGGAATGCATCATGAAAACCAAACATATCCTCCTTACTCACCACAAGCGCAGCCACAACCAATTCATAGAATAGACTCCCCTGGATTTAAGACAGCCTCTCAACAGGTAAGCAGTAAGCATTCAACGTTTTGTAGTTAGAGGTGCATTATTAAATTTTAAAATGTGGTGATTGAGTTAAACAATATATTTTGTCCTTTCTCCAGATTAAGAATTAATCTTTAACTTCAATTTTAGAGTACCAAGGACTTAATTTTAAATTTTGTATGTTTGTCTTATGCAGCATCTATACTGGATTTTTTTCAGAAAATTAAGGACATGAGATCATAGTTTTGTTATATGGCACACTTAAAATGCATGTCTACCAATCACTATAAATTGAAGTGGGAAGTTAGCACTAAACAAAAACACTATATTTAAAATATTTTAAACACTTCACAGAAAGCAGAAGCCTCATCTCCAGTCCCTTACCTTTCGCCTGAAACAAACCCAGCATCATCAACCTCTGCTGTTAATCATAATGTAACTTTAACTAATGTCAGACTGGAGGAGCCCACCCCAGCTCCTTCCACCTCTTACTCACCACAAGCTGATTCTTTAAGAACACCAAGTACTGAGGCAGCTCACATAATGCTAAGAGATCAAGAACCATCATTGTCGTCGCATGTAGATCCAACAAAGGTACCTGTGCTGCGGTTTGCACTAATTTGTTGCTCTCCATCAATCTAGCACATGATCATTTTTGCTTTGCCCTTTAATTGTTCCTTTTGCTTTTTTCACTGTGGGCTTATACACCTAATGCTTTCAAATCAATACAAATCATTTTGGTTTTGTAGTTTGCATGGCTTCCAAATGGTATACTGATTATTTGAGAACAGACCTTTTAATTGAGACTTGTGCTTAATATTTTTATTGTTTTATTTTTGGTTTTCAGTATCTTCCAGAATTATTTAACATATTTTTGAGACCCATCATAAACATATTTATGTTTATCTAAATTTTGGTGTCCATAAATTTTCTTTAGAATTTTTATTTCAGTGTCAAAATAAAGTGGAATCAATAGTTTAGTGCATTAATTTTCTATTAAATTTAATAATTATCTTTAACTCACTGTTCATTTAGTTCATGCTAAAGCATAAAAGCTCCTACCTGCATTACAAATTTTGAGCTTTCACTTAAACTAGCTTTTTCCACTAATCTTGTCTATCCTGGTAATAAATGGTAGAATATACCATTTTCACATATTAAATCATAGCTTAATATTTAATCATAGTCTAATAACATAGACTATAATTAAAAACAAGACTTGTCCTTAAACATGAATTTTTTTTTTACAGGTGTATAGAAAAGATCCATATCCTGAGGAAATAATGAGGCAGAATCATGTTTTTAAACAGCCAGCTGTTGGTCACCCAGGACAGAGGCCAGACAAGGAGCCTAATCTAACTTATGAACACCAACCTCCATACGTGGAGAAACAAGACAGCAGAGACTTAGAGCAGCCCACATACAGATACAACTCCTCAAGCTATACAGACCAGTTTTCTCGAAACTATGACCATTGTCTACGATATGAAGATCGCATTCCCACATATGAAGAACAATGGTCATATTATGATGACAAACAGGCCTACCAGCCTAGGCCTTTTGATAATCAGCACCCTCGAGACCTTGACTCCAGACAGCATTCTGAAGAGTCCTCAGAACGAGGATATTTCCCACGCTTTGAAGAGCCAACTCCTCTGTCTTATGACAGTAGACCACGTTATGAACAGCCACCTAGAACCTCTACCCTACGACACGAAGAGCAGCCAACTCCTGGATATGATGTGCACAATAGATACAGACCAGAAGCACAGTCCTATCCTTCAGCAGGTCCTAAGTCATCTGAACCTAAGCAGTATTTTGACCAGTACCCACGAAGTTATGAGCAAGTACCATCACAAGGATTTACCTCTAAAGCAGGCCATTATGAGCCTCCCCATGGTGCTGCAGTTGTCCCTCCTCTGATACCTTCATCTCAACATAAGCCAGAAGTTCTGCCTTCAAATACCAAACCACTGCCTCCACCCCCAACTCTAACTGAAGAAGAGGAAGATCCAGCAATGAAACCACAGTCTGTGCTCACCAGAGTTAAAATGTTTGAAAACAAAAGATCTGCATCATTGGAGATCAAGAAGGATGTAAATGACACTGCCAATTTTAAGGTAATAATGTCTACTGCCTTGGATACAAAGGCACACTAAACAGTTCCAGTGCTTCCTACTCCCCCTGCCCCCATCCCATGAAGTTTATTTTGGAGTTATCTGTTCTTTGAGCATGTTTGTCTTATTTTTCTGTAGCCTTCAGAAGTAGCATCTAAACCTCCAGGTGCTCCCATCATTAGTTCCAAACCCACTCCTCAGAATCAATTCAGTGAACATGACAAAACTCTATACAGGTGAGTGCACTTTGTGTTATTTATGGTATAGAACTGACCAGGAGTTTGTCCCTCTTAGCCAGTGAGAAACCCTTTCACTATGTTAGTAGAAGAGAGGTGTGAAAAGGGAGGAGAACCTCATTTGTCCTTAAATAAAAACCACCAGCTCTCCTAATTAAAACAGTACTCCTGGGGGGAAAGTAGAGCTTTAGTATACCTTTTGTAACAAATTTTTGTTATTTCTTTAGTAAATAAATCTTTTGAAAAGGTATTTTTCTAGCAGATGATTAAAATTAAAATTTTAAAGCTCTCACATTTGTATTATGTTTTTTAGTTTTTTTGTATGTTTGTTTTGAGTGGGAGTCTCACTCTGTTGCCCAGGCTGGAATGTAGTGACAAGTTCACGACCACCGCAGCCTTGACCTGCTGGGCTCAGGCGATCCTTATGCCTCAGCCTTCCAAGTAGCCGGAACTACAGGCATGTGCCACCACACCCAGCTATTTTTTTTTTTTTTTTTTTTTTGTAGACATGAGGTCTTGCCAAGTTGCCCAGGCTGTTCTCGAACCCGTGAGCTCAGGCAGTCCTCTCACCCCAGCCTCCCAGAGTACTGGGATTATAGACCATGCCCCGTCTGTTTTTTAGTTTTAAAAGTACTTTCAGACATGTGAACTCTAGTTTTTAGGGGTAAAGAAACAGACTCAAATTGTCTAAAATAACTGAAATTATTTAGTGAGCATGCATAATGTGCTTGCCATTGTACTAAACAAATGAGCACAATGAGGTAGCACTGTTTCCCACATTTTAAAGAGAGACCCTGAGGCTGATGGGGGAAGTTCCATACTGGACTTACTAGAACTGGAAGAGAAACCTGAACTGGAAGAGAAACCTGGCCAGCTGTTCCTCAGCCTACGTTCTTATATAGCCTCATTGTACTTCTAATAAGTGACAGACTGAATTTAAGCATAGTTCTTCTGCCTATAGTGTGTTTTATTTGCTAAATATACGTTTGCACTTGTGATAGAGAATATAATATGAATTTGTATTATGACTTGCTTTCTTTCTCATCTGTTTTCTGTGCCTTCTAGAACTTAGACTGTATAGAGCTGTTGGTCAAATGAAAATTAAAGTTCTTGAAAATCCTTTTTAAAGTTCATAAAGTCTGTCACTTATTGTTGCTGACATTAGTATATGTACTTTGAGAAGTTTTCCACTGTGTTGCTTACATTCCCTTTCTCTTTCTGATTAACTGCTTCTAACCTGCCATGGGGCCCCTAATCTGATAATAATCACTGAGCTTTTTAAATTGTGTTAAAGAACTCATGAGCCAGAAGGGGGCTGCCTTCTTAGTGTACTCTGTGAGGACTTGGGATTTGGAATATTTATTTTAACAGTTTAACTGCTCAGTCAGATCCTGAATAATCACAGCAGTCATTGAAAAGGTCAAGATAAGTTTTATAAATTCCATTCTCTTTGTAAAATTAACAACTTAAAAGTTCCATTTGTCATTTGTTATTTGTCAGGATCCCAGAACCTCAAAAACCTCAACCAAAGCCACCTGAAGATATTGTTCGGTCAAATCATTATGATCCTGAGGAAGATGAAGAATATTATCGCAAACAGCTCTCATACTTTGACCGAAGAAGTTTTGAGAATAAGCCTCCTACACACATTCCTGCCAGCCATCTCTCAGAGCCTGCCAAGCCAGTTCATTCTCAGAATCAGTCAAATTTTTCTAGTTATTCTTCAAAGTAAGTTATTTCACCTAAAACTTAACTTTTAAAAATAAAATGAACCGTAAAGGTTTGCGTGCATAAAGTGGTGAAGTTAATAATGTGAAGTTCAATGTATTTTGAAGGAAAATGTTAAGTGTAACATGACTTCTATAGACTCTAGTGGCTCAGCATTGTACATACCTTTTAGTTCTGAGACGTGTATTTTGTTTTTAAACTCTGATATCAGATTGCATAAAGTTTTGCATTCAAAAAGATGCTAAACTCCAAGGGTTTTGATGGGAGGGAATGTCAGCTGTGTAGATCCTAGCTTTTAGGTGAATCACTGAGTCTCTCCACTTCCGTATTCTCACTTAATGATGTATCTTTTTGGTTTTGTTTATTTGTTTGTTTTTTTGAGTTGGAGTCTCACTCCATCGCCCAGGCTGGAATGTATTGGCATGCTCACGGCCACCCCAGCGTCATCCTGTGGGGCTCTGGCAATCCTTCTGCCTCAGCCTTCCAAGTAACGGGAACTACAGGCGTGTGCTACCATGCATGGCTAATTTTTTTAATTAATTTACTGTAGAGACAAGGTCTCACCAAGTTGCCCGGGCTGATCTTGAACCCACAGGCTCAGGCAGTCCACTCACCTTGGCCTCCCAAAGTGCTGGGATTACAGACTGAGCCACTGAGCCCGGCCTGTTTTTGTTTTTAAAATATGAAAACAGATGTGAGGAAGACACTGAGCGAAATATTAAAGAGTTTTTATTGTTGTTTTCAAGGCAAGTAAGGGCTTGTCTTTTTTGTTGTTGCTGGAGCTTGAGGGAACTTTAGAGATTCCTGATGCAGTCTTACACATGAGAAAACCAAGGTTGGTGAGGTAAAATGATAGGGCAGAGCTGGGACTGGACCCTGAGTTTCTTAACTCCCAGTCCTCTTTTCCCCAAGCTCTGCTGTTCCCCTCTGTTTACTCACATTTTGGGTTTGTGTTGGTTTGTTTTTCTTTCTTGTACCTGGTAGGTTTGTGTCCCCTTCTTGTTCTACTTTTCTGATTGAAGATAAGAGACTGATAGAGAATTTGATGCTGATAGTTGGGTATAACCCAGGAGGCACTTCCACAAAACAAAACTCACAAGAACAAAACTGATGTGGATTTGTCAAAAGGGGATTCGTTTACCCAATTCCAGGAGGTTGGCTAAACAAGTTCTAATCCAAAGGACAGGTGACCAGGAAAGGAAGATCCAGAACTCAGGGAAGGTTTTAAGTTACCTTTCAAAGGGCCCTACTGTTAAATTCAGGGCCACCCAAGATCATCTCTTAGCTGACAAGAGACTTTACATCTGAATAAACCCTTCACAGCAGCACCTAGATTAGTGCTTGAATAACTAACTGAGACTGTAGTTCAGCCTAGCCAGGTTGACACGTTAGAATAGTGATCACATGTCAATTTTGTGTCTAGATTAAAAGCCACCTAGAGTTTTGCTTAATTAGATGCTTGAAATTATCTGAACTTGTCATTTGCCATTTACCATTGAGTGAAAATTATTTTAGAACATATTTTAGAACATATTTTAACATTCTGATTTTAATTCCCTACCACCGTTTTTCCTTAAGACATCATTTGAACTGAAAACTTAAAACATTTTTTTCCACTGTCGTTATTTCAATCTCTGTGTTTACAAAAGAAAGCAGTTTATGAGGAATACAAATGCAGACTTTGCTGCAGTGGGAGCTATGTTAAATGCAGATTGTGTCTTGCACTAGTGTCGTGACTCTCCCCTAGCACAACACTAGAAAGAGTCCCAGTGGCAACCGGATAGTGTCTAGACCAAGTGAAACTAGACGCTGAGACTTAGGAGCTCATGGCTAATAAAGTAAAAGCATATACCTTCTGGTAATTATTTTTACCTATACCATCAAACACATTCATTCCTGTCAGAAGGTGGCCCTGAGATGTACTATAAAGAGATATTTTGTTTATCCTTTTACATGTAAGATGAATAGGTTGCAATCTTAAAAGGGTACATTTAGGTCTAACGGGAAAGTTATGCCCGGGAATCAAATTAAAGTCATTTTTGGTTTTTGTATTAACTTGGTTTTCTAGAAAGAAAACCAGAAAGCTTATTTGTGACTAGCATTCTACCTTGTATACAGTTGAGTCTCATGCCTTGTATACAGTTAGGACTCAGTAATTATTTGTTGAGTGAATGAAGCTCAGCACAGAGCACATAGGGTACTTACTAGGTGCATCTGCCACCCTTTTCATTAACACAGCGCTGGGAGGAGCATGTATTAGCTGGTCATAGTTTTTACACCGATATATTGCCTTTGAAAGAAAAAGACGACATCTGTATGTGAATTTACTTAGAACTCAGTGAGTGTTGTGGAAGAAAGAAAGTGTAATTTAGAATGGATAGTAATATTCATTTCCTTACTTGGTAGTATGACATTAGAGCTCTTCATAATTGTGCTGCATTTTCCCATATAGCTATTTAATAATTAGAAATTTGGAAAGGAGAATAAGGGTCATAGATGATAACTAAGATAACATGTTCTGTGCCTTCCCCTTCTAATGCTGCTTCATTCTCTTGCCCAATTAATACAACTTCATCAATTGGAAAATAGTTTAAAATATGGGACCTTCTTTGTCCTACATTTCAAAACTATTTACTGTTTGTCACTAATAGACTGCTTTCAGGTTTTTATTTTTTTCAGTAGAATATAGGAATAGCAAAATTATCTCTCTCCAAATGCTATGTGCTTGTATTTCACTTAAAAGCACATCTTAGAAATGGTGAGAATTAGAGGGGAGATGTCTTTGCCTAGCACAAGACCAATGTTCCAGAAAGCAAGCAGGTGTTACTTACCTTGTCTTGCAGTTCCATAGTGCTGTATTAGAAATGGAAAGATTAGGAGAGATAGTAGCTCAGACATTCATCTCCAAAGCAAGTTAGAAGTTTCCAGGATTCCAAGACAGGGCTAGAAGAGCAGTCTCCCTTTGGGCCTGTGCACAGACTCAGCTGAGAGTGAGTCTTCTTCTTCAGGATAACTAGGAATGTTTTTTCAGCCAAAGATCTACCTTTCGGGCCTCAACTCACCATGTAAGACTTCCAGGTCTCAAACTAAATTATGGTGGTTTTTAGCTTCTTAAGAACTAAGTATAAGAGATTGATGTCCAGGTGTTGTTACATCCATGATACATGATCAGACAAGAGAGACTGTAAGAGTCAAGCATGACAGCTTCGCCAGTAAGGCTCTACTGCCACATGGCTCAAACTTACCACTGGAGGTAGAGGAGGTCTTGCTGGAAAGGAACATATGAAAGAAACATCATCATGTTTTAAAGGTTACATATTTCCATCCATACATTCATCCTTGCCGTCCTAGAGGAACAGGAATACTCCTGTTGTATCACTTTTTCCTTCTGTGTCTTCACTTAGAGAATTTCTTTTGCCCAGCCTTTTTTCTTTTTTCTTTTTTAATGGGACATCTCAACTCTCACTTATTCAAATATGCTGATTATCCTTAGTTGCTGCTCCTTGATTGTATTCATTTCTTTGTTCATCATTAGCAGCTGCAGCAAAAGTAGGCCGAGGTGGGAGAGGGAGGAATACAGCTCAAACACATTGCTTCTCTCTGATATACCAGCTGAAAGGATGTGGGGAGGGGAGGCATGGTGTTACTGAGGTTATGTTGTTTTATTTATTGTGGATTTCCTTGGCTAAATGAGAGTCCGTGATAGGTTCTTTTCTAGACCAGATTATGCTGGAATGGTGGTTTATATTTTTAAATGACATTTGAGTTCCATTTGCTGCAAATTTACTTAGTTAGATTGACCATTTTCTTTATTTTTCTGTTGCGCTTGCTTTGCCATCACCTAGATTTCTTGGCTCTTACACTAGCTATGACTACTTGAAAAGGAGCGTCAAGTGGTAAGACTGGCAATTAATGTGAGGCTGTTCCATAAGATGTCCCTCACTGTGTCATTGGCATTATGTGCACTTTCAGATTGTATGTCATCTCCAAGTGCTTAGTCTAAATTCATGAAAACAAGATAGCCTAGTTTTAAAGCTAATCAGAAGACTAGACTTCACTGGACATCTCTATGAAAATAAGCATGCATTCCAAATGAATGTGTTATTGTTTGTGCACATAAAGCCAATGCAGCTTTGGCACTCAGCAGTAAGATTTAGATGGCAATGTTGCAATTATGGGTCTATTTAAAAGATTTCTTTTGTGTGAATTTTGTGTGTTACATATTAACAATTGGCAATCTGGAAAAAAAAGCATATCTGGCACAATTTGACTTAAATGAGCCTTGTAAAATAAAGCAATATTTTCTACTGTGGAAGTCATTTGACAAATAAATGTATCTGGTAAATCAGGGGTAATTTTTAAAGTAAAAGAGGTCTGATTTTTTTTTTTTTTTTTTCCTGGAACACATCTCTGCCTATTTGCTTACATATTGTCTGTGGCTGCTTTGGGGCCATAGCAGCAAACTTTGAATACTGACAAAGTCTGTGTTGCCCAAAATGCCAAAGATATTTACTATCTGGCCCTTCACTGAAAGTTTGCCACCTTCATCATTTTTTAATGGAGCCAGCTGCCAAGGCTTTGTACCTTAGATAAAAAATCTGAAGTGAGTCTAAGGTAAACTTGTGCCAAGATACTTTTTCAAAATATTTGTAAGACTTTCTTAAACCTACCAACCATTACTATTTTTTGTAAATAACAGCTAAATATTAAAAGTATACCCAAAATTTCATCTGCCTTTTGATTGCCATCTTCTGGATGTTTTACTAATATTCTTAAACTATCTGTGCTGTCTGGACATTTCTTGTGCTGATGAATGATTGAATTTGTTTGTATATTTTGCAAAAGTAGCTATTCATACTCATGAGAATAAATGGTGAAACTTTTAGATTTTTTTGAAACTTAGGAATATGTGAAGGAATGAGAACTTGTTCTGTAAATTTGAATCCATTTTCACATGTTGGCATTTTCTTCTTGTTTTAACAGGGGAAAGCCTCCTGAAGTTGATGCTGTGGATAGATCGTTTGGTGAAAAGCGCTATGACCCAGTCCAAGCCACTCCCCCACCTCCTCCATTGCCCTCGCAGTACACCCAGCCATCTCAGCCAGTTGGAGGTTCTTCCCTCCACTTGCATCCCAAGGGACCACACAGTGAAGGTAGAAGTACAGAAGTTGACAAATTACTACAATACAGTGCTGCTTTTACAATTAAATTCTTGTCATTTATAAGCAAACGGTTTTTATGTTAACATACATACTCGAAACTTTTGGGCTGGGAACAGTAAAAACTAAGGGTTTTGTTTAAAGTACGTCTCCTGCTTTTATGATTAGAACCATTAGGCCTTTTAACAAAATAGATCTTTTATCTATTTATTGACATAACTTAGTTTTATATCAGTCTCTAAATCTTATGGAAGTAGTATTTACCAGTATATCTAAGTTTAAATATTTGAATGAAGGTTTATAAAAATTGTGTTTCAGCTGGGCTCAGTGCTCAACCTGTAATCCCACGCCTTTGGAAGGCTAAGGTGAGTGGATTGCCTGAGCCCGCGGGTTCGAGACCCGCCTGGGCAACTTGGCGAGACCTCATCTCTACAATAAATCAAAAAATAAGCCGGGCGTGGTAGCACACGCCTGTGGTTCCGGCTACTTGGAAGGCTGAGGCGGAAGGATCACCAGAGCCCAGCAGGTCGAGGCTGCGGTGGCCGGGAGCAGCTACTGCACTTCAGTCTGGGTGACAGAGTGAGACTCCAACTCAAAAAAAAGAAAAAATTGTGTTTCATCTTCACATATGGGCCTAGGAAAGTCCTAAAGTTTTATGTAAAATGTATCCCACAGCACCTTGCCTTTTGTATTTACATTTCTTGGTATTTACGTTTCAAAGGAGATAACATAACAGCTCCAATTTATCCATCGTAATAGCTATGTAATATGTTACCCTAAGAATATAACACTATTTATTTATCTGTTCTGTGAATAGACATTTTGCTAGTATAAACAGTACTTCTCTTATTTATGTAGGTGTCAAATTCCAGAGTATGTGAGTCTTCAACCAGATATGTTTTTTTCTGGATTGACTTTATTTTATATTAAGATTTTTATTGCACACTGCTAGGCATGGTGGCTCACACCTATAATCAGCACTCTGAGAGGCCAACGTGGGAGGATTGCTTGAGCCTCAGAGTTTGAACCAACCTGGACAATGTAAAGAGACTTTGTCTCTACAAAAAAAATGTTTAAATGGTGGTGCACACCTATAGTCTCAACTACTTGAAAGGCTGAGGCAGGATCTCATGAGCCCAGGAGATCAAGCCATGATCATGCCACTGCACTCCATCCTATGCAACAGAGCGAGACTGACTCCAAAAAAAAAGATTTTTTTTTACACACTAACATGTCTACAGATGAAGACAGTTTTAATTCTTACTTTCCAATCTTTATGCCTTTTCTTTCTTTTATTTTTATTTATTTATTTATTTATTTTTTGCTTCTTGTACTGACCAGGACCTCCAGTAAAATGTTGACTAGAAGAAAAAGAAGTGATAAAATCAGATGTCTTTTGCTCGCTCCTCATGTTAAGGAGAAAGGATTTAATGTTTCTCCCTTCTAATGTAAGCTGTAGGATTTTCTTTTTTTCTTTTTTTTTTTTTTTGAGTTGGAATCTCACCCTGTCGCCCAGACTGGAGTGCAGTGGCCGCTCCCGGCCACCGCAGCCTCGATGGGCTCCGGCAATCCTTCCGCCTCAGCCTTCCAAGTAGCCGGAATTACAGGCATGTGCTACCACGCCTAGCTGATTTTTTGATTTATTGTAGAGATGAGGTCTTACTGCCCAGGCGGGTCTCGAACCCGCAGGCTCAGGCAATCTACTCACTTCAACCTCTCAAAGGCACAGGATTACAAACTGAGCCACCGAGCCCGGCTAGCTGTAGGATTTTCATGCACATCCTTGATGATGTTTCTTAATTATTTCATAGACTTGAGTTGATACTGTTTTACACTGCCTCCAGCAATGCATAGAATTTCCTTTTATGCTTTTTCACCAACTTTTGACATTGTCATACTTTCTAGTTTTGCCATTCTAATGGGTGTGAAATAGTATTTAATGCTTTTTGTTTTACATTTTCCCAATTAATAGTGAGGTGAGTTTCTTACTGTTTGGTTACTGGGAAGTCTAGATTTATTTAGTTTTATTTATTTATTTATTTATTTATTGAGTCAGTGTCTCACTCCATCGCCCAGGCTGGGATACAGTGGCACACTCATGGCCACCCCAGTGTCAACCCGTTGGGCTCCAGCAATCCTTCCGCCTCAGCCTTCCAAGTAGTCAGAACTACAGGTGCGTGCTACCATGCCTGGCTAATTTATTTATTTATTTATTGCAGAGACAAGGTCTCGCCAAGTTGCCTGGGCTGGTCTTGAACCCACGGGCTCAGGCAGTCCAGTTGCTGCCTCAGCCTCCCAAAGTACTAGGACTACAGGCTGAGCCACCGAGCCTGGCCCAGTCTAGTTTTTACATAGATTGGTACCAGTTTCTGGAAGCCAGGGCTCTTAACAACCAGATAAGGGTAGCTGATAATACCACATGTCCACGCCACCTCCTGGTCCCTCAGTGTTGCACATAGCCGCAGGGTCCATTCAATAGTCACCCTCTAAATATTTGGCTTATATTTGGGTTTTGACTCCAGCGCAGGACAAGTTAATCTGGGAGAAACATCAGAGAGCCTGTTAAACTTCTTTCAGGAAGTTTTAAAGTGGTTAATATATTTTGGTTTTCTTCCAGGTAATTCAGTATCGTTGGATTTTCAGAATTCTTTAGTGTCCAAACCAGATCCACCTCCATCTCAAAATAAGCCAACAACTTTTAGACCAGCAAACCGAGAAGATACTGCTCAGCCTGGTTTCTATGCCCAGAAAAGTTTTCCGGATAAAGCTCCAGTTAATGGAGCGGAACAGACTCAGAAAACAGTCACTCCAGCATACAATCGATTCACACCAAAACCATACACAAGTTCTGCTCGACCATTTGAACGCAAGTTTGAAAGTCCTAAGTTCAATCACAATCTTCTGCCAAGTGAAACTGCACATAAACCTGACTTATCTTCAAAAACCCCCTCTTCTCCAAAAACTCTTATGAAGTCACACAGTTCAGCACAGCCTCCTGAGTTTGACAGTGGAGTTGAAACTTTCTCTATCCATGCAGATAAGCCTAAATATCAGATAAATAATATCAGCACAGTGCCTAAAGCTATTCCTGTGAGGTAAGATTTTTTTGCCTTTGTTTAAAGCATTGACCCTGTGATTTTTTTTTTTTTGTAATTATTTTATTTTTAAAATGTGGGGTACAAATGAGGGTTGGGTACATACATGGTGATCGTACAGGTAAAGTGTGGGTACCCTTATTGATGTTATGTGCCTTGCCCCCTCGTCTGGCAGTGTCCCACTACTGCCAATCCCTTTCTTATAGTATTATGATAACAGAATCCACTTATGAGTGAGTACGTGTGGTACTCAGATCTTTGTTTCTGTGATAAATCACTGAGTATTATAGACTCAAATTCCATCCAGGTTGCTGCAAAGTTCACAATTTTCTTTTCCTTATGGCTGCATAATAGTCCGTCATGTAAATGTACCTCGTTTTCTTTATCCAGTCCACTTTTGATGGACTGCACGGTTGGTTCCATGTTTTTGCTGTTGTGAATAATTCTGCAGTATACCTGCACAGGCAGGTATACTTATTATGGAGTAATTTGAGTTCCTCCAGGTATACTCCCAGAAAGGGATTGCTGGATTGAATGAAAGGTCAATTTTCAGATTTTTTAGAAATCACCACACTGTTTTTCACAGAGGTTGTACCTGTTGACATTCCCACCAACAGTGTAGGAGTGTTCCCTTTTCTCCACATCCTCTCCAGCATCTGTTGTTTTTGGAGTTATTGTTGATGGCCAACATGACTGGAGTTAGGTGGTATCTCAATGTGGTTTTAATTTGCATTTCTTTGAAAATTAGACTGAGCCTTTTTTCATGTATTTCTTGGCTGCTCGTATGTCTTCTTCTGAGAAGTGTCTATTCATATCTTTTGCCCATTTTTTAATAGGGTTGTTTGTTTTTTCCTTTTGGCATGTTTGAGTTCCTTGTAGCTCCTGGATGTTAGGCCTTGTCAGATTTACAGTTGGCAAATATTTTTTCCCATTCTGTGGGCTATCTTCCTGCTCTCTTGATGACTTTTTTTGCTTTACAGAAGCTTTTATGTTTGATGAGGTCTCACTTGTCTGTCTTATCTTTTATGGCATTCACTTTTGGAGAGTTAATCAGGAATTGATTGTCTATTCCAATTTTCATAACAGTGTTTCCTAAACTTTCTTCTGGGATTCTTGCAGATTGAGGTTTTACAATTTAGGTCTTTGATCCATTTTTAGAGTTGATTTTTGCGTAGGGTGATAAGTAGGGGTCCTGTTTCAGTCTTCTACGTGTGGTCAGTTTTCTCAACACCATTTACTGAAAAGGTTCTCCTCTCCCCATTGGTTGTTGGTGGAGGTTTTGTTGAAAATGAGTTGGTTGAGGAATTGAGATTTTGCTTCTGGACTCTCTGTCCTGTTCCATTGGCCTATATGCCTGTTACTGCACCAGTACCAGGCTGTTTTGATTAGTGTAGCTTTATAATAGAGTTTGAAGTTTAGAAGTATGATACCTCCCACTTTGTTTCTTTTACTAAGGATTGTTTTGGCTATTCATGGTCTTTTATGTTTCCATATGAATTTCTGTATTGTCATTTCCAGGTCTGAGAAGAACAATGTTGGTAATTTAATAGATATTGTGTTAAATCTGTGGATTGCCTTTGGTGGGATGGACATCTTAACAATGTTAATTCTTCAAATCCATGAGTATGGAATATTTTTCATTTGTTTGTGTCTTCTTGGATTTCTTTGAGCAGTGTTTGTAATTCTCATTGTAAAGATCTTTCACTTCTGGGAAAGTGGTTAGGAAGATGCCAAGGTATTTCATTTTTTTGGTGGTTATTGTAAATGGAAATGTCCTTTTTATTTGGGTTTCTGTCTGTTTGCTCTTGGTGTAAAAAAATGCGACTGTCTCTTGCGCATTTATTTTATACCCTGAGAATTTGCCAGAGTCTTTTATCAGTGCAAGGAGGTTTTTGACAGATTCTTTTGTGTTTTCAAGGTATAGGATCATGTCATCCCCAAAGAGAGAGAACTTAACTTCCTCTTTTCCTATTTGAATACCCTTGATTTCCTTCTCTTGTCTAAGGGCTCTAGCTAGGACTTACAACACAGTGTTAAACAGGAGAGGTGAAAGAGGGCAGCCTTTGTCTTGTTCCAGTTTTTAGGAGAAATGCTTCCAATTTCTGTCCGTTCAGCAGTATGTTGGTTGTGGGTTTATCATAGATGGTTCTTACTATTTTGAGGTATGTTCCATCTATGCTTAGGTGTTCAAGGGTTTTTATCAAGAAAGGATGCTGGATTTTATCAAAACCTTTTTCTGTGTGTAATGATATAATCATATGATTCTTGTTTTTACATCTGTTGATGTATTTAATTACATTTGTGGTTTTGCAGATTTTGAAACAGCCCTGCATTCTGGGGATGAAGCCTATACTTGGTCATGGTGGATGATTTTTGAGATGTGTTGTTGGATCTGGTTTGCTAGAATCTTGTTTAGAATTTTTGGCATCTATGTTCTACCAAGTATATTGGCCTGTAGTTTTCTTTCTTTGTTGGATCTTTACCTAGTTTGGGAATCAATATGATGATAGCCTCATTAAATGATTTGGGAAGACTTCTGTCTTTCTCAACTGCCTTGAATACTTTCAGTAGGATTGATATCAGCTCTTTCTTGTATGTTTTGTAGAATTCTGCTGGGAAACTATCTGGTCCAGGGTTTATTTTGTGTGTCTGTGGGAAGTTTTCTTATGACAAGTCAATTTCCTTGACTGTTATTGGTCTATGTAGGGTCTCAGTTTCAACCTTGGAAGACTGTGTGCTGTCAGACAACCCTCCTTGGAAGACTGTGTGCTGTCAGACAACCCTCCATTACAACCTTCTGTAATATTTTGTCCTCTATGCCCCATATTTGGTCTTTTATTTTGGTGATCTGGATTCTTCTGCTTAAGTTAGGGTTTTGGTGGTCTTGTTTTTCCAGCTCCCTTAGGTGACTTGTTAGACTGTTAACTTGTGATCTTACCATTTTCTTCACATGTATTTGTAGAGATATGAATTCCCCTCTTAGTACTGTTTTCATGGCATCCCAGAGGTTTTGGTAAGATGTTTCTTCATTTTAATTTGTTTCTAGGAATCTTTTAATTTCTTCTTTGTTTTCCATGTTGATCCAGGAATTGTTCAGCATCATGCTGTTTAGTGTCCATGTCTTTGTGAGTTTTTGGGGGAACCTTGTTGGTATTGATATTTATTTTTATTCTACTGTGGTCTGAGAAGGTGCATGACAGTATTTCAGTCTTATGAAATTTATTTATACTTGATTTAGGGCCAAGGATGTGGTCAATCTTGGAGTACGTTCCATATGGTGATAAGTAGAGTGTATATTCCATGGCTATTGGATGGAGTGTTTTGTAGGTATCTATTAGTTCCATTTGGCCAAACGTCAGGTTGAGGTTCTGGATCTCCTTGTTGTTTTTTTTTGCCTCGATGATCTTGGGTAGATACTGGGGTATTAAAGGGCCCAGCTATGATAGTGTTAGAGTCAATATCTTTTTCAGCTTACTTAGTAGTAACTGCTTTATAAAAGGTAGTTCGCTTGTGTTTGTTGCATATGTATTTAGGATGGATATTTTTTGTTGATGAATTAAACCTTTTATCATTATGTAGTGTCCTTCTGTATCTTTTTAAGTTTTTGATAGCTTTGTCTGATATTAAGATTGCAACTCCTGCTTTCTTTTGTGTTCCATTCACCTGAAAATTTGTTTTCCATCTTCTGACTTTGAGTCTGTGAGTGTCCCTTTGGGTGAGATGAGCCTCCTGAAGACAGTACATTGTTGCATCATGTTTCTTTATCCCGTTTTCCATTCTCTGCCTTTTCAGTGGTGCTTTTTTTTTTTTATCTTTGAGTTGGAGTCTCACTCAGTCGCCCAGACTGGAGTGCAGTGGCCACTCCCGGCCTCCGCAGCCTCGACCTGCTGGGCTCTGGCGATCCTTCCGCCTCAGCCTTCCTAGTAGCTGGAACTACAGGTGCATGCTACCACGCCCAGCTAATTTTTTTGATTTATTGTAGAGATGAGGTCTCACCAAGTTGCCCAGGCGGGTCTCGAACCCGTGGGCTCAGGCAATTGAGCCACCGAGCCCGGCCTTCAGTGGTGCATTTAATCCATTCACATTCAGGCCAATTATTAAGATGTGAGAGTTTATCCCTGTCATGAGGCCCTTATAGACTTTGTTTATTTATTTGTTTGTTGGTTTTCTTTTGATTTTTGGGTTGATTTATGTGTGCGTTTTCAATCTTGCAGTCATGATCCATGCTTTATTGGTTCTTTGTTTTCTTGCATTCTTGGGAGGAATGTGGTTTTTCTCTGTTTTCTTTCTTCTGTGCTTAATACCTTCCTAAAAGTGTCTCTTGTAGAGCTTGTCTGGAGGCAGCATACACTCTTAGAGATTGAATATCGGGGAAGAATTTTAATTCTCCATCACTGATGAAGCTCAACTTAGCTGGGTAGAAAATTCTGGGTTGGAATTGTTTATCTTTGAGTGTTTTGAAAAATGGGCTTCAGTCTCTTCTAGCCTGCAGTGTTAAATCTACTGCTATTCTAATTGATCTTCCTTGGTAGGTAGTCTGACCTTTCAGTCTTGCTGCCTTTAGGATCTTTTCTTTTATACCTGCTTTGTGTAAGTGAATTACTATGTGTCTAGTAGTTGTTCTTATTTGATGCCTTGCAGGGGTACTCTGTATCTTTTGTTAGGCTTTTTGCGTATCTGATGAGATGTGGAATGTTTTCTTCGATGACTTCTTGGAATGTTTGTTCCAGGCTGCTCTCGTTCTCCTTATCTGCTTCAGGGATACCTATCAGTCTTAGGTTCAGTCTCTTAATATAATTGCACATTTCCTGAAGACTTTGTTCTGTCTTTTGAAGTTTCCTTTCTATGTTTTTAATCTGGTTAGTTCCAGATTCAGACGCTGGTTGTCTGACCTCACACTTTATACTCTTAACCAACCATGACTTCCTGTAATGTCCTCACCTTCTGGTGAGGTTCATGTGGAGAATATCTCAAAAACATACATATCTATATTCCTCACTGATCATTTGTTTAACATCGATGCTAAAAAGAAATAAATATGTAGTAACTTTAAAGTGACTATTTGAAAAACAATTGATAGTGAGATGGCTGAGCACATGACAAAGTGAGCTGCCTGGAGCCTCACTCCAGATACTCTGTCTTCTCCTTGCATAGTGATTGACCAGACCCATCCTGGCTATGTATAAGCTCATCTCAGCTACCAAAATCTAGTCACATTCCCAAGCCTCCTGTGCAGCAGAGGTACTTGCAGGCAGAACCAAGGGCCAAGGTGGCCACCTGCAGTCTTCTTCCCAAGAGAAAGGATGGTTATGTTAATTTGCTGTCTTTTTGTCTCTGTGTATGTCGCAGGTGGTCAGGATGGGGGCACAGTGGGCTCCTCCTGTGTGGTGGCTGTGTTGTACCACTGCCTCAGGCAAGGGGCTCTCCTCCCTGCAAGTATGCCTGATGCTCCAGGCATACTGAAATGGAGTTGCCACTAACTTCATGTACTTCTCTTTTGTTGGTTCATCTTTCACCTCACCTTTAAGTAGTGGTTTAAAATGTCAAGAGTCTTGGTAGCCTCCATTTTTGAAGCAGTCACTGACACCACATCCCTTTACCAGTCACTGATACCACTCCCCTTTACCTTTGGTATTCTTTGATTACTGAGTTAATATGCTGAGTTAATATGCTCTACTATCTCTCATGAATCTTTGGGATGTAACCACACCAAAGTCTTTACCTCTAGGAACCTTGAAAGCCTTGCCTTTGGCATCATGGGCATTTGGTATGGTATTTAGGGAGTGCTAAGGAAGGGCCCCACATACACACACTTAAAACCCTGGGGAGATTTGATCAAGTCTCAGATACCATCAGTTGTAAGATGTATCATTTTGTGTGTGTATTACTAAGAAGGGAAGAAAAGCTACCAATTAAACTGACTTCCCAGTTTTAAAACACTGATTTCATGGGTGTTAAAATGTGCTTCATGGTTGGGTATGCCTTATCCAAAATGCTCAACACCAGAAGTGTTTCAGATTTGGAATTTTTTCAGACTTTGAAATAGTTGCATTAAATGTACCAAAATGCTTTAGTGAGCACTCCTTTGAGCTTCAGGTTAGTGCTCAAAATGTTTCAGATACTGGAGCATCTTGAATTTCAAATTTTCAGGTTAGGGTGTTCAACCTGTAGTTAGGTGAGCAGGGTATCAGGCATATTGTATATTTAGGTTGCAAAATCAATAATGAAAATAACTAGTTACTTTAAAAAATTAAATTGGTTTCTCAGGAAGAATATGCTGTTAGTTATCCTTGTGAATAAAATCTATCACTAAACATTTAGCTTGTTAAAGTAACTTAATTGTGTGGAGAAATAAAAATAAAATGGTATTCGGGATACTCTATTACAATACTAATAAAAGGAAAGTGCATATATGTTATTAGGAATTTACTCATTAGCCATTTCTGAACTCTCAGTCCTTCAGCTGTGGAAGAAGATGAAGATGAAGATGGCCATACTGTGGTGGCCACAGCCCGAGGCATATTCAACAGCAATGGTGGAGTGCTCAGTTCCATAGAAACTGGTGTTAGTATCATCATCCCACAGGGAGCCATTCCTGAAGGAATTGAGCAGGAAATTTATTTCAAGGTGTGCCGAGACAACAGCATCCTCCCACCTTTAGATAAAGAGAAAGGTAATTGTGTTTATTTTTCTGCTTAGTTTTAATAACTTAGAAATTACCCTTGTGCACTTCATAACTCACAATGCTCAGCTGAGGAACTAATCTCTGCCTCCACACTAGGCTGCCCACAGTTTCTTTCATGGGGGGGGGTCTCTCAAATGAGTGGTGTGGGGGCAAGTGCCCTGGGTACGGTGCCATGGGCATCTGGTAGCTGACCCGAGGCAAGACTGCAGTGACCTGCCACACAGCCTACTTTTACTTTCAGCACAGTATGAAAAGTGACGGCAGGCCATGGGGCATTCCTCACACATGACTGCTAGACAGTCTGGGCAGACCTAAACAAATTTTTCTTTGAATTAGTCAGCTTTCCATCTCTGGAGATGGGTTAAGTCAGAAAGGCTTGCTCACTGCCTTCACCTGATTGTAGAACTAAGCCTCTTGGGATAGGTGCAGCTTACTCTCACCCCAGAACCTAGCACTAATAAAGTTCTTGACAGAGTGAATGAAATATCCTTAGAGGATATTGCAGTATGTACCTGAGCTTCTTAAGGAAACTGTTAATTTTCATAATCTTGCTGGGTCTTTCAGGATGATGCAATGTTGAACTGTGTTACAATTTCTTCTAGTATCTGTTAGCTGTGCTTTATTTCCCTAAGTACATCACTTTAGTTCACATTTCCCTAAGTACATCACTTTAGTTCTTACATTTTGCCGGAACACTGGCATCTGATTCTCTATTCTGAGTATGGGATATCCTGCTTTTATAGCTAAAAGGGCCAACTATAGTGGCCCTTCAGGAACCTGTTAAGCCAAGTCCATAGCGAACAAAACATTAAAAATAGAGAATGTAATCACCTTTTGTAAAAAGTGCATTTGAATATGGCTTATACTATAGAACCATGTGATTGAGTACAGAAGCCGCAAGCTATCACTTGAAATGTGGCTAGGTTAGATTGAAAGGTGCTGGAAATATAAAATACTCATCGATTTCAAAGATTTTGTATATTAATATGTTGAAATACTAATGCTTTGGTTATATTCAGCTAAATGAAATACTAAAATTGATGTCACCTGTTTCTTTTTATTTTCTAATGTGATTGCTAGAAAATTTTAAATTCCATATGTGGCTTCTGTTATATTTTTCTTGGTCAGTGCTGCTGTAGAGAACCCAATCCCATTAGACTTTTAAAAGCACATAATTGTCGGGGAGGGCTGAGGAAAACTCTGGGTCTAGAAGGTAGACCACCACATCACCTCTTTGCCCATCCTCTTTCCTGACTGTAGGTGAAACACTGTTGAGTCCCTTGGTGATGTGTGGGCCCCATGGCCTCAAGTTCCTGAAGCCTGTGGAGCTGCGCTTACCACACTGTGCGTCCATGACTCCTGACGGTTGGTCTTTTGCTCTAAAATCATCCGACTCCTCGTCGGGTATGCTGTCTTCACTCTGTCCTTTGGGGGCTTTGGATACTGTCATTGATTAATACCTGAGCTGATGATTCTACCCATGCTGTGTTAACAAATCTCTACCTCTGTTCCTGTGGCCTTGTAGGCATCACTAGTATTTTCACATTTATTTGTGGTGCATGTATTGTAAGTGAATATGGAATGGTAGACAAGTTTCTACCTTTTAAAAATTCATGATTTGGCCAAAGGTTGACTGTTCCCTGTTCAACAAGATTATTTATTCTGTCAAAATTTACCAGATACAAGGAAGAATTATTGTCCTACACTTACAGGCATCTTTTTCTTTTTACTAAGATGATTTGATTCCTTTATGTAATTATTTCTGTTTTTGGTTACTGTTTTTTGATTTTTTAATCTGCAAAGTATGTATATCAGAGAAATTTAAAAGACAGAAAAACTTTCCACTGTGATCATACTTGGCCATGGTTTTTCAATGTAAGACTAAATAACTTTTTTTATACACTATTTTTAAATGACTTTTTGCTCTTCAGATCATAATGTCAAAACTTAAATTGCATTTTCACATTTCTCACTTTTTTGAGCGACCAGTTTACCAATTAGAACTTACTGTATTTTTTATATGGATCACTTGAAGAGAGAACCTGATACAGAAAAAATAAGAACTTAAAGACTTGCTTCTAAATTTTTGATAAATCAGATGAGCGTTATTTAGTTTTCGTTTGGTATGTTATCAAATAAAGGTTTATTGTGTAAAAATTATAGTTGGAGCATTTTATCCAGTAAAAAGAATTACATAAATATCTATTCCCACCTATTTACAAGTATCCCATTTTCTGGAAAAAAGTAATAAATTAAGTTTCACACTAGATATTAAAGCTGTTTCCTCAGGCACTCTACCAAGGAACATTTTATTGACCTAATTTTAATTATTGAATTAACATTAATAAAACTATATTAAAAATGTATATTCCAAAAGTCCAGTGGTAGCATGAAATCCGATTACCCTCTAAACCATAGGATGGGACAAACCTTAGGATAGGGATCCTTAAAATAATTGTCTATTGTAGTTACTTGCTTTACAAGTAACTTTTTTTTCCCCTGGATATTGTGTGAAACAAATGATTTCTACATTTTTTATTTCCATTGTTTTATGCCATAGAACATAAATTATCTTGTTAGATTGAAACAGCTTACCTTTTCTACGTTAAATTTGAGTATATTCACCCAAAAAATAAATGTACCCTTGTGTAATTTTGTATGGCTGTGAAATGCTTTGCTACTATAAATTCCTGTTCAGAAAGTCAATGTAAATTTTGATAACTACTGACTTAATCCCATCAAAATCTTGTATATTGGGAAGAAACTTTAGTCTAAAGATATTTTTTATTTACTTTCAAAGAGTTGTGATAACTATCTCATGACCTGAACAATTTGTTCTCAACAGTATTATATAAGTTTATATGTATCTTTGAAATTAAATCAGTCTTTTTTTCAACTGCTACTCCCATCATGAAATGCTGTTGACTCCCAGTATTGCTTTGGTGATATATAACTTACTGTGGGTAGAGTTCTCAACTGCTGTTGATATTTTGGCCAGATAATTCTTTGTTACAGAGCTGTCCTGTTCACTATTGATGAACAGAGTTTCAGTGCCAGTTGTGACAAACAAAACCGTCTCCAGACATCCTATCAGGGAAGAATCACTGCTGGTTGAGAGCTGTTGTTGTAAGGGAAGCAAAAGTCAGCAATTTGGACTCTCAGCTTGCTTGGACACCACAGAGATGAGTCCAGTACAGGGGTTCGAAGCTCTCGCTGCCGATGTAAAATCACTGAGAACTTGTTAAATACCTGTTACCATACAATTACTATCCAATTTTTTTTAATTAAAAAAAAAAAAGGTGCTATTAATAATTATGTGGATTCAAGGGCAAACTGGGACTGTCCCAGGCATATGGTTGTCCACCTTTTATTCAATCTTTGAAAAGGACAGTGAACTTGATAACATAATAAAAGAGAAGTCTGAAACAGATTTTGAATCACTAAATACCAGCATGTCTGCATTGAAATATAACATAAAGACTTTTTATATATGTCTAAATATATGCAAAGCATAGTGGAGAGCAGTATAGCAAACTGTAAATGATGTCAACTTCTTTTTCTCTCATAGGTGATCCTAAAACGTGGCAAAACAAGTGTCTTCCTGGAGATCCAAATTATCTTGTTGGAGCAAATTGTGTTTCTGTCCTGATTGACCATTTTTAACTCTTAAAATATAGGAACTTGATTAAATAATGTGAAGCTGGGTTAAACTTACTAAATCTAAATGGAACCACTCTATCAAGTATTATACTTTTCTTAGAATTGATCCTACAATTTGTTAGTATTAAGCATTTGTTTGAACTGATGGAGATTAGTGAGCATGCCCTGGACCATGGTCAGAAAACATGCTATAAACTGCATGTTTGTGGTTGATGAACTATCGGTATTGGTTAGAGGTTCAAAGATATTTTGCTTTGTGATTTTTGTAATTTTTTATAGTCACTACTTAACTTCAGTATTGATTTCCGTTAAAATACCAGCCAGTAAATGGGAGTGCATTTGAGTCCTGTTATTTCCAAAATACACTGTTTCAGACTTTATTACGACCTTGGCCTAGCATACATGCACATTTATTTTATTATGCATGAGGTAATATGCACACATATTAAAATGCACCTGGAATATATAAACCAGTGTAGTGGATTTAACAGAAATGTACAGCAAGGGGAATTTATAGCTTTGGGGGGGTCCACTGAAGACAATTACTTACTGTATATGAAAACACAATTTTCTTAGGGAAGGACACCAAACCTTGTGAGACTGGTTCTATGGCCTGTTTGGATCAGACATTAACCATATCACCACAGACATACTAACCAGCAGGAATGCCTTACCCCTCATGTTTTTAATTCTTAGATCATTTCGCTGTGTATTACTAAGTTTTTATGGCTTTTGTGCACATCTAGATGCTGTATCATGGAAAAGATTGAGTAAATTGTGAATTTGGTGGTTTCAGAAATGTGTACTCACCCAGAAGAAAATAGTGGTATGATTTGGGTTGGTTTTTTTTTGTTTTTGTTTTGTTTTTTGTTTTTGACAAGGGGCAGTTCTTTTTGGCTATGCATTTGAAAATTTTGATGTTTTAAGGATGCTTGTACATAATGCGTGCATACCACTTTTGTTCTTGGTTTGTAAATTAACTTTTATAAACTTTACCTTTTTATACATAAACAAAACCAACTTTCTAAAGGCTACCTTTGTATTCTCTCCTGTACCTCTTAAGCCTTGAACTTTGACCTCTGCAGCAATAAAGCAGCGTTTCTATGACACACACAAGGTCATTTTTTTAAGAAAAAGAATGCACAGAGTTGTTACATTTTTAAGTGCTGCATTTAAAAGATACAGTTACTCAGAATTCTCTAGTTTGATTAAATTCTTGCAAAGTATCCCTACTGTAATTTGTGATACAATGCTGTGCCCTAAAGTGTATTTTTTTACTAATAGACAATTTATTATGGCACATCAGCACGATTTCTGTTTAGATAATACATCACTACATTCTGTTAATCATTAGGTGTGACTGGATTTCTTTTGCAGTTATTAAAAATCTCCAATTTCTAAATCTGCAAAATAAAACTTTTTAAAATAAAGTACTGGTTTGGTCTGTTTGCCCAATGTTTTCTAGTTTTATGCAGCTTTATTATCCTGTTGTAAAAGCCTGTACATAATCCTCATCACCCAGAGTCTCCTAGCACCTCGTCAGATCTGGTGCTGCACGTGCAGGATCCGTCCCTGTGACCAGTGTGTACAGCTGGGTGGCAGCACTAGTGTGAAGGGCTCAAGGTCAAGCTGGACAGGAAGACCTGGAGAAAAAATGGGAGAACACAGCAGACTGTAGACATGCCTGTCTACAGAAATATCTTCTCTCCATGTGTTCATGTGTGTGTATGTGTTTGTGTGTGTACATGTGTATGTTCGTTAGGACCCACTGTAGTTGCTGTACTTGTTTATCCACCGCTCCATTGATATATAGGTTATTGCTGTAATGTTTTAGTGGACATCTCTGTAGATTGAATCCATCTTTGTGGATTTTATTTTGTTTCATCTTTCTTCGGGTATAATTTGCATACAGTAAATTACTTACATTACAGTAAGTTACTCTTTTTTAAAGTGTGTAGTCTTCCAAATTTTGACAAACACATACTGTCATGACCATTACCACAACTAATATATAAAAACAGTTTCCTCATCATCCCTCCTCCCTGGCCAGTCCCCTTTCCCCCTTTATACTTAACTCCTGTTCAGCTCCTGGCAAGCAGTGATTTCTTCCATTTCCATGGTGTTGTGTTTTTGAGGGTATCATAAATGGAATCATATAGTATGCAGCCTTTGAGACCGACTTGCTTCCTTCACAATGCATTTGAGATGCGTTAATGATGTTGCAGGGTCTTTTTTTACTGCTGAGTAGTGTTCCATTGCATGGCTGTCCCAGAGTGTTTATCCATTCCCCAGTTGAGGACCTTGTGGATGGTTTCCAGGATTTAGAGATTATGATAAAGCTGCTGTAGACATTTACATACAGGTTTTTGTGTGAACATGTTTTCATTTTACTTGACTCAATACCTAGGAGTGGGATCTCTGTTCATATGGCAGTGCATAGTTTAATGTTATGAGAAATTGCCAGCCTGTTTTCCAGAGTGCTGCACCAGTTCTGCTCCCATCACTGTCATTGAGGGTCCGCGGGCCCATTCCTCACTAGCAGTTGCTCTTGTCAGGATTTTTTATGATGACTACTCTGCTAGGCTGTGTTGTGTGGTTTTGACTTGCCTGTCTTTAGTGGCTCATCTTTTAATTGTAGAGCATTTTTCATTGCCATCCATATAACTTCTTTTGTAAAATATCTGTTCAAATCTTTTTCCAGTTTTGTATTTTTTATTACTGAGTTTTGAGAGTTCTTTTTATGTTCTGGTGCAAATTCATTGTCAGATACACGATTTGCAAATATTTTCTCTCCACGTGTTCATTTTCTTTATAGTGCCTTTCAAAAAGCAGGAATTACTAATTTTGATGAAGTCAGTTTATCTACTTGTTCTTTCATAGATTGTGTTTTTGTTATCATGTCTAAGAAATCTTTGCTTAATACACCAAGATTTTATTCCTGTTTTCTTTTGTAGTTTTTTTAGGTTTTACATTTATATTTGTGATTCACCTAAGTTGCTATGAGGTACATGTTAAGTTTTTATTTAGTCTGTCTTAAGTTTTTCATAATTGTAAACACAAACTCACATAAATACGGCCTAAATAAAACGGTTTTTATATAAATAGTTAATGAAAGGGACATTGCTCAGAAAGTCTGTTGTTTGTGCCTCTTGCCTTTTACTGTATGGCCTGAGTGTTCAACCAGGTTTATTTACCTAGTGCTTTTTTTTTTTTTTCTTTTCTTTTTTTGAGTTGGAGTCACACTCTGTCACCCAGACTGGAGTGCAGTGGCCGCTCCCAGCCACTGCAGCCTCCACCTGCTGGGCTCCGGCGATCCTTCCGCCTCAGCCTTTCAAGTAGCTGGAACTACAGGTGCG